ATTCCTCCTGGACTTTGAAGTGGAGGATCTGTATGAAATAGATCAACATTAAACTGAAAACAGTACATTCTTGTGAAGCAGAAATGACGAGAAACATTACGTGGGAGAAACAGCAGCTGTTTAAAGTCAGAGTTTGATCATATGCAGCAAAGCTCAGTGGGTAACAGATAAGGCACTGCATGGGGCGCTGATGGCAACGGTGACAGGAAATCAAACTGATTTCCAGAGATTGGTTCTTTTGTGCGATTCATTTCAACCAATCACTCATCGATGGGCTTTTAGCATGGAAGTGTTTTTCAACTGCCGAAAAAAACATGTGGTGAAATGTTAATGTGACTATCTTCAATAAGTTCATTATTTTAAAGACATAGTGTAGAACAATGGAATCTTAAGTGCTTTGTCTGGTGCAAGACCTGCTTTATACATGTATTCTCAATCAGGCAATGATCATTGATTTTGAACAAACCAGATCTTAAATGCGGAACATTTATAATGGCATAACTGTTCACTGGAAGCACACGGGCAGGCTTATTCAAAATGTAAAGTCTCCAGGCATAAGGTCTATTCCTTCATGACATGTCAATTTTGTCATGAGGCCTGTGTTGAACTCCAAATGACATGTTACTCTATTGTATGTAGTTTTTGGAAAAAAAAGGGGTTGAATAAACAAGTATGTGCAAATTTAAAAAACGTATAAAAGAGTTAGCAAAAAGTACTCGGATTAGCACTTCTGGTAAAACTCTGAAATATGCATACAATGGATACTTTACTATGGTGACGCAGTGGCGCAGTAGGTAGTGCTGTCACCTTACAGCAAGAAGGTCGCTGGGTTGCTGGTTTGAGCCTCGGCTCAGTTGGCATTTTTGTGTGGAGTTTGCATGTTCTCTCTGCGTTCATGTGGGTGCTCCAGTTTCCCCCACAGTCCAAAGAAAAACTTCATTTTTTCTTGTCTATGGGGATTAGAAAAATCAGTCCGGCGAGTCCAATCAAATCACACATAGAAGGTAAACCGCATCATAAGGAACAACCTCAAGACATGGGTGATTCATAATTGCAGCAAACAGCTTGGAAGCATTAAAAGTGTCCATTAAGATGATTCAAATCTTTACACGTATTGACCCAGTAACTGTTTAGAGGCATATTGCTAATGAGAAGATGACGGATGTTTACTGTATGGTGACCGAAATGGCCTTAAACACACAGCAGGCACAAGACGTCAACATGACATCAGATTGACATTGTGTCCCAACGTCGTTGGGACATTGCATTTTGTTTGGTAATGAAGATCAGGTTGACATTAGAACCCAACGTCAGGCCTAAAAGCAACCAATTATCTACGTCTAATTATGACACAGATTGACGTTGTGTTGGACATTACCACTATGACGTTTATCAGATGTTGGATTTTGGTTGCCATACCTGACAAATAAATGTCAGTATTTGACATCAATATGACGTTGGTTTAAATTGGTGGCTCAACGTTGGATTTTGGTCACTAACACAACCAAAAATTAACCAAATATCAACATCATTTGATTTTGTTATTGGGCATCAAAATGACGCTGTCCTTAGATGCTGGTTAGACATTATATTTGAATTTTGGTCACCTGACATCACAACCTAAGGCCGTACTCACACTAGGTACAGTTGCCTCGAACCGGGCCAAAGCACGCTTGTCCTCCCTCCCGTCTCCCCCGACGGCCCGCGCTCACACCACAAACCGGCTTCGGCACACTTACGTCATCGCTGCTGCGCTGTTCAGTGAGAAGCGCTCTCTCACTCAGCAGCTCAGTGGAGATTTCTCTAGTTATATCGTTTCAGTCGTTTGATATGCCGTCAAATATTTCGCCAAACAGTCCTTAGGGATGCGGGGACACGCAGTCAGATATTTAGCCGAACAGATCCGCCACTTTTGGCGCTCATAAACAGTCATAAAGCCCTCGTGCTGCAGGAATGAGGAGGTCTGCAGAAGGCGCGCAGCTGTCGTGCAGTGAGGGTTTTGCGTCTTTAATAAACTACGGCAGTTTGCGTTTATTGAACAGTAAGAATGATTAATATAAATCTGTATGAATCACTCCCTTAAAAGACATGTCTCGCTTTCAGTTTCGGCCTTTGGCGCGTTTTGCACTCATACGTACCACGCCAAAGCCCAAGTGAAACGCGCTCAGGCCCACCTCTTTCAACCGGGCCAGGGCCGGCCAAGTGAACCGTGCTTGAGCCCGTTTCAGCGCACTCACACTTATCAAACAATCTGGGAAACGGGCCTGGGCACGGTACGGATGGCATAGTGTGAGTAGGCCCTAAATCTAACCTAGTATTAACGTCATATGACGTGTGCCTGCAGGGCAGTAACCAAATGCACTACAGAATGTTACGTTTACACACACATGCACAAATTACATGTAAATGCACCCAATTTTTACACCCAAATACTCACTGCTCTTGAGCACTTTTGAACTTATATGTCTACTTTTAATTCATGCTTTGAGTAATATTTAAAACAGAAACTTATACTCTACTTGGGCAAGTAATTGTTCTTTTACTTAAGTATATTTTTCAGTAGCTACTCTTTCCACCACTGTCACCAAGTTACAGTACTTTGGCCTGAATGGGTTACGTCATATCGTTATTGAAAAACACAACAGTTAAAACCAGCCTAAAATAAATGGCTAGTCTTATCTGGTTTAACTGATCTCAGATAGACTGGTCATGGTTTTAGTTGGTCATTCCAACTGGTCTCTTGTTCTAAGGAACCTTACTGCTCAAAACCCCTCTAAAACCAGCCTGGATGACCAGCTAACCCAACCAACTAGCTTAGGCTGATGTATACTGTTTTATTCTTCTGTTTTTCAGGTGAAACATGACCAAAGAAAATAACTGTCATCACTTTCAAAATCTCCAAGAATTTCTACATGAAAACATATGAGAAGAAATTAACTATATAGCCCAATATTTACTTTCAGAACATAAAAAGCAACAATTTTGGACACACCAAGTCCATTCAAGATGTAAAACTGTATTGTTATTTAATGTTTTTGATATGTCAACCATCAAATCGTTATTATTTTCCAAGTCAATCAAATTTGATTTAATAAAACGCTGACTTACAAACAGATGTTTTAGTTAGCCATTAAATGCTTAATGAAACTACAATGAACAAACCCGTCCGGTTCGGTTTAGTGATTTGGTTCATCTGAAAGGTTTGACTCAAAAGAGTGATTCGTTCATGAATAACATGGAAGACGGGCAAGACCGTTTGCTGCAGCCAGTGCACCTTCAGAAACAATTGAAGAAGTTTAAATGTTCATTTGCGCTCTCAAAACTTTTTTTGTCTCATTTATAAAATTAAAATTAGGCTAAACAAATACACAATTTTATCCAAAATAACCATCGCTTCATCATGTTTGGGTAAATAAAGCTGTATTTTTGTGAACCATCATTTAGCCATGCTGTCATTTTACTCACGTTTGCTGTTTATTTCCATATCTGAGGAATCAGAAACTCCTTGAAGTGTTGGAAAGGCACATCGCAGCCCGTGCACCCATCGATGTTATGGACTTAAATGACAGACACAAACCGCATTGAAAGATTCTCAATGAAGTTTGCAGACAGACACCGACTTCTCTCCATTATCCTACTGGGTCTTAGTGCCCCTCTAGTGCTGCCTCTCAACGAGTTTGAAGCTTTGGTTTGAAGACAGACTGACAGTATTTAAGATAAAAATTAAGATACAAATACACGGGCGCACACCAATTTTACACAAGAAAACAAACTTTTATTGCAATAGAAGATGTACAGTCTGTTGAAACTGACAGATAAATAAAGTTAGCAAGGTAGCTGCAGTGATTAAAAAAGAGAGAATCAAAAATATGGTTATACTCTAGCTCTCTTCCTTCACTATGAAATTAATAGAACACTTCATAACAATCTATTGGGCAAACAGGTTGTAAACACTACACACAAAGGCAGAAAACATGATGGTTTCACCTGTTTGTCAGTGAGGTACAAAACTACTGTCAGTACACCATGGCTTTATAAAGACCCCACGGATGCTGTTAGGTCCAAATCAAGGTTACAGTTTGTTATTTGTAACTTGTTTCAGTGGTGTGGTGATGTGTATTTCCATCAAATAGTACGTGAGTGTGAACATGTTATCCCTGTCACTGGCCATACAATCCATATTTACTCCTGCATTAATTTTTATTAATAAATCAGGTGACAATGACCCTGATATGATCCAAAAATATAATTCAATATATTTAAGGTATCACAGCATGAAAGTAAACTGCCCTAATCTACCCAACAGATCTCTCTTGTTAATTTTAAAAAGCATAACATTTGGGGAAAAAGGAAATAAAAGAAAAACATTGCACCGTAATTCTTTCCTAGTATCTGTTTCGTCTTTATCATCTGTATCAAACACAAGCTCTTTGCATTTCTACCATCACAATATACGTGTTTCATAATAATTAGTCTAATAATCCTAAAGTCTTTTTGTGATAAAAGTGTACATTCAGTATTCGTTACTCCTTGAAAATGACCTGAACAAAGTACAGCACCATAGTGCTCAATTGAATCGGCTTGAAACTTCACAAATAACAGTCAGACTTTGGTATTCATTGTCAAGCAAATCATCGCTTAGTTCAGCCCACCTAACCCTATGTAGTCACCATATATAATAGTCAAAACTGAAAAATATGATTTTGTCATCTTTAAAACTAAATTTTCCTTAATAATGTAATAGATGGATGACGTTTGGTGATTCATCCACTCTTGTTATAGTTGTCTTAATCATATTTACATTCTGTACACTCACTTTGCTGGTGCATAAATTAATAAAGAACATAAGGCAAAAATTCAAAATCCTGATTCCTTTTTTCATTCGAAAACTAAATAAAATGTGGTCAAGAGCCATTTCACTCTCCACTAAAAACTGAAAATAAATGATCCCACCATTCTGTTTATTGTTATTTATTTGTGACCTTTTTTGTCAAGTATTCTAGCCTGTCTGATCATTCATGTCTGTCATAAAGGACAGTTGCTCAATTCCTGTACTGTCCAGGCATGAGACACAGGATGTTTTTGTTTCGTTAGACTGGAACAGGTTTCAGGTCTCTACTGTATGTGTTTGTGTGTGTGTGTGTGTGTGTGTGTGTGTATGTGGGGGGCAGAAACACTAGAAAAGCCGGGCTTGTTTTTTCATCTCATTCCTCTTCCACAGTGCCAAACGGTCAAACTCCACCATCGTCATCCCAAACACCTGATAAAACTCCTCAGCGGAAAGATGCCGCTAAAAAAAAAGAAACGAAAAAATGATCACTCCGTATGTTTATCTAGTTATCCACATATTTCATTTTCATTCCCTTAGATAGACAAACTGACTGACAGACAGACAGACAGACAGACAGACAATATTTTATTGTATTATGGTGTACAGCAGTAGTTGATCTCTGTTCTAAAGGTCCGGTGTTCTGCAGATTTTAGCTCCAATCCCAATCAGACACACCTGGGCTAGCTAATCAAGCTCTTACTAGGCCATAGGTCCCAAACTTAATTCCTGGAGGGCCGCAGCTCTGCACAGTTTTGCTCCAACCCTAATCAAACACTGCTAATTCAACTAATCAAGGTGTTCAAGACTACTAAAGACTATTAAGCAGGTGTGATTTGGAAGTGGTTGGAGCTAAAATCTGCAGAGCTTTGACACTCCAGGAGAGGAGTTTGAGACCACTGTACTAGGTTTTCTAAAAACATCCTTGCAGGTGTCTTGAGGCAAGTTGGAGCTAAAATCTGCAGGACACTGGATCTCCAGGACTAAGTGTAAGAACCACTGGAGTACAAAGTACATTTCTGATAAATTAAGAGACTTATAAGGTAAACATTTTTTAAAAGTCTTGCAAATATTACTAAAACAAAAGTTTTAGCATATTTTTAAAGATTTACTACATTTTTCAGTTATGACTTTCCATTTTGTCTTTAGTGTCATGATTTTTCATGAACAATTTTTCAGATTTTGTTATGGGGGTGCATTTGGGACAAATAGAAAGTTATAAAAAGCTTTTTTTTACGCATTTCTAAATGTGTAAATTCACTGAGCTTATGAAAGCATATTTAAATAAAAGTATTTAAGTATTTTAAAAATAATTAAATATACACTACCAGTCAAAAGTTTGGGGTCAGTAGGTTTTTAAATGTTTTAAAATAAGCTTATCCTGCTCACCAAGGCTGCGTTTATTTAATCAAGAACACAGTAAAATTGTAAAATTGTGAAATGTTATTGCATTATGAAATAACTGGTCAAAAGTAGATTATAATTTAATTTATAATTTATTCCAGTGATTTTAAAGGTGAATTTTCAGCTTCATTACTCCAGTCTTTAGTCACATGATCCTTTAGAAATCACTCTAATATTAATTATTATTGTAATAATAATAATAATAATTATTATTATTATTATTATAATTATTATTATTATTATTAATGGTAAAAGTAATAAAAGCAATAATGACTAGAGTAACAATTTCACTTAAAACTACATACAATAAGAAAGCAGTTATTTAAAACTGTAATAAATATTTAACAATTTTTACATTTAATAGATGCATGTTGATGAACAAAATAATTTTCTTAAAAAAAAAAAAAAAAAAAAAAACTGACTTCAAATTTTTGACCAGTAGTGTATATATTCTATTTTTAAAGTTTACCTCCAATCTGGCCCGGTCAACATCCTTTGGCAATCTGTTACGCCCCCTAGTGGTCACAAGAAGTGCTTCATATGGGTAAACCTGTCAACGACAGTTGGTAATGAATTTAATAGTATACTCCCATTAGCATGACCATAAAATTCATGTTTATTTATTAGCAAAATATGATCCTGTTGATACAGAGTAAAAGCCTGCCTGCCCTGACTAAATGATTGGCAGCTAATGGAAAGCTGAGCATTGTTCTCAGAGCAGCAGTAGCACGAGCAGACGTCCTTTTCCTCTCTCTTCTGAAAGTGAAAGGAAATCACAGAGCCTCTGGCACAGCAGCTGTAACCGAGACAGGAAGGAGGCACAGAACACAACAATATAGATCCTGACCGACCAGGAGCAAAGGGCTCAGATGAACCCCTGCCCTCTCCAGCCTCCTGCAGCTGAAAAATCACACCGCGACCTTATGACCCGGAAACACTAATTTCTCTATCCTTCGGTTTTCACAAGTTTTGACCGGGCAGGACGTCGCTTTGACCCATCAGGGTTCATTAGACTGACATACTGTAGAGTAAATCTGGCCTTTCCTCTGGAGCCGATGGTGAGTTAATGTTTCAGGATGTTTTTTAGAGTCTCTCTGGACCCTCTTTAAGTCTTCTGGTAATCTTAAACCATCTTCCTTACCGTGTACTCTGTTGGGAAATAAAAAAGTAAATGTCAGAACTACTTTCTGTACAAAATAGTTCAAAGGGATTTTTCACCCACAAAATAAATTCTGTATAAAGACTTATATTTTAAAGAATTTAGGAAAAACCCCTAGCCTTTGACGTTCATTTTTTCCCCTCCTTACTATGGAATCAATTTAAATATGCACACTTTTACACTCTTTTAATTCAGTTCAATTAAATTCAAGATTATTTGTATATTGCTTTTTACAATAATTATCGTTTAAAAGCAGCTTTACAAAAGGTGTAAATTATTGTAATACAATCAAAATCAGAAGAGTAAAGGTTATTCATTACCATAACTATTAGTTAACTTTGACATTAAGTATTAATAACTTTAACAAAATAACAAACAACTAGTTTCTTTTAACAGTTATTATATATAAGCATAGTTAACCTGCAGTTTTATCTTACTATGTTATCGGCTGATTTCCCACATTCTTCAAAACCTCTTCTTTTGTATTCAACAGAAAAAGACACTCATTTGGAACATTTGATGGTGAGTACATTGTGTTTAATTGTTCATTTTGGGGTGAATCATCCCTTTAACTCCCGAATATGGCCAACAAAATTAGCATTTTCTTCACAAATAAAAGCCTCACCTCTGATTCCCCAGTTGACTTCACTGCCGCTGTCATATTGATAGTAATCAGCACTTTGTGGCTGGAAAACAAACAAATTTGTGGTTAAAATGTTATTGTTTTATTGAATGCTCTGTCCATTTACTGGACATTAATATAAATTAAATGCTGAATGAAACAAACAATAAATAAAAGGTATTTCTTATAGTCACAAAAACAGTAAATTACCCTGTGCAATCCATTCCTGCCATATCCAGGCAAAGAGGCTGACTTGGATATGTAATCTTTAGGTAAAAAATAATTAAAAACAGATTAAAGATAGCGCAACAATAAAGGTCAAGGTTTAAACCCAGTGTATGGGGATTAGGCTTGTTATACTTAGTCTGCTTTGTAGGTTAATGCACACTAGAGGGCGCTATTTACCAGGCAAAAATCTGCCTAAATTTATTGGTTAATCATTTATAAATTTAAAGTAATTTAATGGTGACAGACTTTCCAAAATGTATTACAGTGCTATATTTTGACAACAATATATGAACGCCAAATGATTTGACTTCATGGTGCTCAGGTTCCAAATGCTTAAAATATTCATTCATTTATTCGGCTTAGTCCCTTTAATAAATAGGGGTCGCCATAGCAGAATGAAACACCAATATATGTTTTACACAGTACTGGAAAACACCCATACACTCTCACAGCTCAAAAGATATGTAATATAATTAAACTTAAAAGCTTTAAATCATGCTCTAATTCCTGGATTTATGAAATCTAAAAATAAAATGCTTTTAATAAATAGATCAAACAGGAGATGCCACATTGGTGTCTACAACAAAATATATATGTAAAAAAGTGATTTTATGTACATAGAAAGCATAGTAAAATGCAATATAAACACAATTAAAGTGTCAAATCCTTCAGATAACTTTATATATGTAAAAATAAAATGACAAAATATCTTATAAATAATATGTCAGCATCCCTCAGCTTAACATATATATTTGTACAAAGGAAATAAACAAATTATTCTGGATGGTAATTATTAAAATACATAAACGTGATCATTAATAATATTAAAATGTTTTATTTTTAAATGATTGACACATGTGTAAAATCTAGTGGTTTCAAGGATAATGGTAAATATGTAAATTGACATGTAATTAGTATTTTCTGAGCTGCACGGTGATCTTTACACAGTCCTTCAGTATATCAACAGTGAACTCTTGTTTTAAATATAGTATGATCATATTTTCGATATACAAATATTGTTACAATAGATTCAATTTAGCTTTTGATCAGACTAAAAAAACTACACAAAACATATTCTGATGCAATGTTTCTCAACCATGTTCCCCGAGTACAACCAGTTTCACCAGATTCAGATCATCAGCTTATTAGCAGAGACTGAAAGACCTGTTATGGTAGTGACAGACAAAGGAGACCGCGGTCCTCCAGAAACGTGGTTGAGAAACACTGTACTAATGTAACTGGCAGTTCATTTCGCTGTGGTGGATAAATCAGGGACTAAGCTGAAGGAAAGTGAGTAAGTGACATTATAATGTTTGAACAACATTTAAGTTATATTGTTTTGATGCTGGAAAACCCTTTTCATCTTTGACCCAAATAACTGTAATACTAAAGTGTTTACATTATAATATTTGTACAGCAAACATGGAAAGATTTTATAAGCCACTCACCATTCTCTGCAGCAAAGTTTGACCGAGGAGCTGAAGAAACAAAAGAAACAGAATCGCTTCAGTAATTTGATAATTAATTCCATGCTAATATTAAGAGTCAGTGGTAATATTTTCTCGTAATCTCATTGCTATGTACAATATAGTATAGACTGATTGGGTAAATCTGCTGTTATTGGTATATATTGTGCCACCAGGTCAGACTTGTGTCTCTGCGTTCCCTAAGGTTTTGGATTCACTGAAAGAGTCATTGGAAAAATCTCAAAACTGTCAACAAACAGACAGAAGCGCAAACTGCTCAGCAAAAACACTGAAACACAGCACATCAAAGTGCTCAATGAGCCTGAAGAATGCTGATCAATGGAAAAACATCAAGGCAGTGGAAAGGGGGAAAGGGAGAAAAGAAGAATGTAAAAGATTTAAGAATGAAAGGGAAGATCCCTGTTTCTATCAACATCTATAGAAGAAATACAGTGTCTTTAAAATTACAGAAGACGATAAACAGGGATTTGGGGTGTGTTAACATTGTACTATTTTGAACTACAAACCCTTTTTATGTGTTTTGACTGTTTTTGTATGACAGTTGCATTAAAGAAATGCGTTTTTGTGAGAGTGGTAACTTGACATCCTTTTTAGACTATGTGTTTGGTCAGTCTACAGTAGGGGTTCTCAATCTAGGTCCTGGAGGGCCAGTGTCCTGCAGATTTTTGCTCCAACCCCAATCAGCCAAAGCTGAAGCTAAAATCTGTAGGACACCAGACCTTCAGGACCGAGTTTGAGAAGCCTTGGCCTACAGTATAAGAATGTACAAATATTTATTTTTGTCTAATAAAAGTTGTTGAAGTCTCTATTAACAATTCACATGTAATTTGATATAAAAAATGCATGTTGTGTTTGTTGTTGTCAGCATGTTGTATTACAATCATTAAGAAAATGACAAACTTTAATTTTTTTACTAACTTAATAAAAAACACTGATAAATTTGTGCGATGAAAATGTCCTTCTTCCTTCCTTTGTTTCTTCCTTCCATCCTTCTTTCTTTCCTTTCTTTGTAAATATGTGAATGTGTTTTTTTCTTTCTTTCTTTCTTTCTTTCTTTCTTTCTTTTTTTCTTTCTTTCTTTCTTTCTTTCTTTCTTTCTTTCTTGCTTTCTTTGTAAATATGTGAATTTCTTTTCTTTCCTTCCTTCCTTCCTTCCATCCTTCCTTCTTTCCTTTCTTTGTAAATATGTGAATTTTCTTTCTTTCTTTCTTTCTTTCTTTCTTTCTTTCTTTCTTTCTTTCTTTCTTTCTTTCTTTCTTTCTTTCTTTGTAAATATGTGAATTTCTTTTCCTTCCTTCCTTCCTTCCTTCCTTCCTTCCTTCCATCCTTCCTTCTTTCCTTTCTTTGTAAATATGTGAATGTGAATTTTCTTTCTTTCTTTCTTTCTTTCTTTCTTTCTTTCTTTCTTTCTTTCTTTCTTTCTTTCTTTCTTTCTTTCTTTCTTTCTTTCTTTCTTTCTTTCTTTCTAAATATGTACATTCTCAAAATATATATTCTTAATGTTACAGTATTTATTGATAAACTTTTAGTGGAAATCTTAAATCTTATAATATTATAATATCTGATATTGTGAAAATCAAAGAAGAAATTTGAGTGGAAAGTTGTTAATGCACGTTTACTGAATAAAAACATACCTTAATTTAATATATATGAACACATTAACACACATCTACATCTCACTGCTATTGAACTGCTCTCTCGACACAAGATCACAATGAACATCTGCATCCCCAACTTTCAGTCTATGTTTTATTCATCGCATTAAATTCTTACTCAAAATCCCTCATGTAGTTTGGGTGTGTTTCATCATGAGCAGCATTAGATGTTTATTAACTGGTCTGTCTTAAACAACACCTCTGAAATCAAGTCAATTATCTGAGCTATATAATCTATTCAACATCACTCCCAAACTTCCTCTTGGTCTATTTCATGAGCAGTACAGTAAATGCCACCTATTTCTAGTCATGAATAAAAGAAGACGCATGATTTTGTGGAGCAGCAGTATAGATATGGGGGAGGAAAATGCAGGAATATTGGAGAAACCGGAGGAAAACAAGGAACTAAAGAGAGGGAGGGGATGAAGGGAATTTTCCAGATGCTTTGTGCTCTTCCCCATGAGATACACCGAAATAGAATTAAGGAGAGCAGCATGTTCATTTGAACATGAGGCGGATGGAGTGAAAGGTTGGCTGTAATGCAAAGGAAAGTTATTGAGGATGGATACTGTAACCAACTCCGTTTATTCTTTAAATATCCAGAATATTTCACTGGGATGCAATGAATATGTATGTATTATTCCCGTCTATGTAAGTAACATCTATGAAGGTTTGAAGTTTATCATGGTCTGTGTCAAAAAAAACACAAAATGAGAAAAAATGGTTGACAAATTCAAGATAAGGGGGCACGAAACAACCCTGGTTTTTAACAAGCAAATAATAAAAATATTACGAATGTAAACATTAGGTGAGCAGGTTACATTGTAACCCTGTGTCGTAACAACATGAGGAAATTTGCAGTGATAAGCAATTAGGCTCTCTGCACCAGACGAAAAACGACAGAAATTTAATTACAACCATTCACTCCAGCGAAATGGCAGGTTTCTGATCAAATTAATGCATATTAAACCTCTTTAATATTATTAAATGTAGATGCTGAATCACTCATATGTGTTGGTTTGCATTATTTCACAGTTCTAAAGTTTTTTCAAGATCTGAAGTGAACTATGTGCTATTGGTGTTGTCAATCTGGCAACCTGCGCTTGCATTTGTTTTGTTCCAGGAATGCAATTCCTAGTTCAGCCACTGGGGGTCAAACTTACATACTGCACCTTTATGTTTACAAGTCATTTTATCTTGCATCAATTACACTGTAAAAAGCATTTTTTTAAATGACTTTAATAATGAGTAAACACATTGCCTAAAAAATGACAATTAGATTTTACTATAAAAATTTATGTATTTATTTACGTAACATAGAACTGTTGTTTTTTCAACATAATTTCTATATTATGTAAATAGTTAATTTATTTAGAAATTTGAAGGCAACAGGTTTAGTCACTTTTTCAGAGATTCACTTTTTACAATGCAATAAACTAAACTAAATTTAGATATATACAGAATGACAAGTCACAGCACTGCACTGTAAAAAATGACTGTAGTTTTCACAGTAAAAGAATGTAAAAGAGCGAAGGTAAAACATTGTAAATTAAAAAAGATTCAGTTAAATTAACCAGGGTTTCTGGAGGTTTCATCAAGTCAAATTTAAGACATTTTAAGACCCTTTCAAGAGCCTTATAAATGTGATTTTAGACTTATACAGGGCTTAACAATAAATTAATGACAAATTTATGAAAAATATATTTATTATAAAGAAAACTACACAAAATAATTAAAAAATAAATTTATTTGCTTTTGGTCCAAATTAATTGAGTATAACTCCTATTCAACGTAAAGTGTTTCTGTTATAAATCTTAAATTTAATAACTATTTATAAATATTATATCTACTCACAATTTATTCTGTAATTAGTTTTTGTGTAAATAGAAGATTATGTAAAGTGATATATTGCGGTAATTATCATGTGATTTGTGTAATTGTTTTTAATTTTCTTTTCCTGATTAGGGAATTTAATAGAAACAATGATGTTGTGAAATAAACACCTTTTTGGGGGAAAAAAAGATGTATATATTGATGATTTTTTCTAATTGCCCGGTGTGTTGTCACAAAAAAAGAAAAAAAAAACTTAATTATTTCTTAGCAACTTATTTTAATGTTTCAAAACAAGAAAACTAAAGTTTAACATTGTTAAATGTTTATTTATTGTTTAGACAATGACATAAATAATCAAAAATTTACATTTGTTGACTTTTGATCTAAATTGATTGAGTGATATGTTGCTCTGGTATTATTATGAGGAATTGTGTAATTATTTTTAGCTTTCTTTCCCTGTTTAGTGAATTTAATGAAGAGAAATTGCTGTAAAAAGCAAACAGCTTGTAAATTAGATCTCTTTGCAAAAAAAAAAAAATTATATAAAAAAAAAGTTTTATTGAGATGGATTATTGATTAATGTAGGCCCGATTGGGTAGCTTTTCTTGGACAGAGGAAAAGTAAGATCTGTTTAAAATGATTTAAGATCTACAACACAATATTTCAGTGAATTTAAGATTCTTAAGACCCCGCACCCAAATTCTCTCATCATAAAAACATAATTTATGAAAATATAAGAGAATAATTCAGTGTTTATAACAGAAGCTTGGCTGTAATGGAAATGTACTATGTCCATGAAGCCAGATTATGGATAGTCATAGTATATTAATGAAAAATGTATAATTTTTTAAAATATTTAAACGAGCAATAATCAATAATTAATACTATAGCCCTACCATGTAATAAAGAATTAATGAGAACTGTGTTATGTTTAATAACTCATGTTAACAAAAATAAATAAACACATGTATTGTTCATTGTTAGTTAATAAATTAACTGCAGGTAGCTAATGAATTTTAATGCAAAGTGTTAACAGAAATCTATAAATTCACCCATTTACTAATGATACTAGTATATTCTGCATTTGTGTATTTTGTGTACAATATTTATGATTAATAAAAATATTTATATATATTATAATAAAAAATATTTCTGCAGGAGGACATTAGTAAAAACTAAGGGTATTCATCAAAGTAAGGGTGAGAAGTATCGGTGTAAATTCTATTCCTCATGTTTTGGGGACCAAATGTCCCCAGAAGTATAGCAATACCAGCAAATTTTGAAAGAATGATTTATTTTGAAAATGTGAAAATGTGGCGTCACGGTGGATAAGTGGGTAGCACAATCGCCTCACAGCAAGAAGGTCGCTGATCCGAGCCCCGGCTGGGTCAGTTGGCATTTGTGGAGTTTGCATATTTTCCCCTTGTTGTCATGGGTTTCTTATAGGTGCTCCGGTTTCCCCTACGAATCCAAACACATGCGCTAGATTGGACGTAGTCAATGTGTGTGAATGAAAGAGTGTATGGGTGTTTCCCAGTGTTGAGTTGTGGCTGGAAGGGCATCTGCTACGTAAAACATATGCTGGATACATTGGCGGTTCATTCCGCTGTGGCGACCCCAGATTAATAAAGAGACTAAGCTGAAAAGAAAATGAATGTATGAATGTAAAAATGCTGTATGTTTCCTACGAGGGTTGAGTTTAGAAGTAGATTCAGTCTGTACATTATGAAAAACATTTAGTCTATGGTAGTTCCCCATAAGGATAGCTATGTACGTGTGTTTCTATGTGTGTGTTTCTGTAAGAGCAAGAGACTCAGACAGAATAAGAACAGGTGCATGGCACTGCATTGGCTGTAGTGTAGTAATATATAGTTTTTTTCTGCTGTGTCTGCACTATTCCTGAGAAGCCTCACAGAATCCCCCCTCCTGTATCAGCATATGCTGGCTGTGTCACTGTTGACTCAAGCCTGCCTTCACTGTAAAGACTTCCAGAGCTCCACTGCTTTAATGAGATGGCTGTGTGCCACATCTTCATTGACCACATCGTCTTGCGCTGAATAATCACAGCCATACTGAAGGAGAGCAAAGCAACTCCCATACCGCAAGCAGTCAAAAGCACACCGCACCTGTTGCCGTCATGCATTTTCACCAAGGGAGATTGTGGGAAGGGCAAAGGTGATCTTAAAGGGATAGTTCACCAAAAAATCTAAATTATGTCATCATGTACTCCACTTGTTCCAGATGTGTTTGAGTTTCTTTCGCTTTTTGAACAGCCATTTCAATGTTTCAATAAATTATTCATTCATTTTCCTTCGGCTTAGTGGCTGATTTATTCGGGGTCGCCTCAGTGGAATAAACCGCCAAACAGAAGAATGAAATTTTTACATTTTAAAACCACATAACATTTAACATTTACCATTTTCTATTTACCACATGAGTGAGTAAATAGAAAAAAATTGAGAATTATTTTACTTTAAAGACCAGGAAAATAAATTATTCTTTGCCATAAAAGTAATATTACTGTACAGTACATACACACGGGAGCTTAATAAAAATACTAACTTTAGAGAAAAAATTCAGATGGCATTTAGAGCTTCTTGCATCTAAACTCTTCAAATGTTTTTCAGAAAACATCCAAATGACATTTTTTAAGAGTTTCTTTTCCTACACATTTTTTCAATTTGTGTCTGTAGACACAATACCTAAAGGCTGTTTTTTTTAATCTCCACTAAAGCAGCAAATACATAAAACAGACTATTATTCATAACTACATAATTTAGTTTACGTGGTTTTTACAAAGGAATATGTTCATGCATAAATTGGAAGATTGTGTGCAGTATTTTATGAACATAAAAAAAGAAAAAATATATACATATATATATTTTATAAATTTCTTTAACTGTTTCTGGTGTTGTCTGATGTATTGAATGGAGTGTAAAATAGAGATTGCCCAAATCCTATCTGTAAAAGCCTTTCAAGAGTTCGCCCTTAGCTGATGATTGATTATGGAGCTTGTTTGGCATGCTGTCCCGGGAGAGAGCCCTGAACTCGTGTATCCTCGAGCCCGGGGCTACCCCCCCACCCCCCCATTGCTGGGTGAGAGGGGAGTACGAGTTCAGGTAGGTCTCGAGAACTTCCCTGCTTTATAATGTTGGAAGTAGATTAAAGCTATAAATTGTCTATGGTGTCAATTTACGACAAAATACAAGGAGAACATGCAAACTCCGCACGGAAACGCCGACCTGGCCAGGAAGTGTCCAAGCCGGTGACATTCTTGCTGTGCGGCCGTGGTGCTAACCGCTAGGCCTCTGTGCTGCCCTGACAAGGAAATGGGAGGAGTAGGGGTGGAAGGGGGGATTCTTCAAGACGAAGATGGCTGAAGTGAGATACTCTGGTTATTTATAGTAGTTAAGAAGTTGTCTGATTGGTAAACCAGTGTTAGCTAATGTGGACCAGGTGCTATCAATCATAAGCACGTGCTCCACTAGAAATTAGTTTATAAATAAATTTCACTTAATTTTAATGTGTCAAATAAGAAATTAAGCATCTTTAACCTGAAACCATCCAATGTTCCGGTTTTTATGCTTGGAATGTGTCGCCTCGCAGCAAAAAGGTCACTAGTTCCAGTCCTGGCTAGGCCAGGAAGCATTTCTATGTGCATATTCTTCCCATTTCTGCATTCATTCAGTTCACTGTCCAAAGAAATGTGTAATTGCGTAACCTAAGGTGGCTATAGTGAAAGAATGTGTGTGTGAATGAGAGAGTGTAAAGCCTGGTTTAGACCCACGGCGCATGTCTTGCTGTGCATTTTTACTTCTGTGTGCTGTTTGTGTTGCTCTGTACACTTCCGAACACTAGCTGGCAGTAGGTTTCTATGCTCTTCTGTGTCGAGTTTCTTTGCTGGTGTTTTGTCTTTTTCTGAATGGTACCTTAATGTACAAGTAGCTAAAACTCACTCATTCAGAGGCGACTTTACAACTTTAATCACAAAACAAAACTTTCCACCTGGAGCTCCTTCATGGGACTTGACGCTTGTAAACACTCGCTCCAATAGGTTCGTATGACTCTCGGTTCCGTGCACACTCGTCAGCACTACAAGCCGACCAATTACAGAGCTTGCACTACGCGAAGATACATTTTTTGAAAGAGACGCGTCAGCATCAGCCACGCTGAGGGCTATGCGACCATGCGAAAGTTGCGCTGGAGCATACACATGCGCTTGACACTGTATAAATCAGCCTTAAGGGCATATATAGCATAAAAACATATGCTAGAGTAATTGGCAGTTCATTCAGCTGTAGTGACCCCTGATAAATCAGGCACTAAGCCAAAGGATAGAGTAAGTGAGTGCATGCAAATGTGTGCATCATATTTAACAGTGCTTACTTTAAACATCAAAAACTTAATACAAAAAGCATTTATAATTTTTACTGCAATCAATTACCGGAGTAAGTATGGTCATAACTGTTTGTTTTTTATTATCGCACAATGTCTTGCCTTAAACCCCAATGGTAGGTTTGGCTTTGAAGGATGGAATATGATATGGAGCACTCAAGCCACACTCTGTTTTTGATGACACTCCAGAAACCCCCTTTCAAACATACGTCCCTTTAATGTGTGGTTGTAGTAGAGCACTTACAGCCGTTAACTGTGTTGTTGTGGCCCATGCTGTGCAGCATCTCCCTGCTCCCACTGCGGGAGTTTCGTGCGCTGCCCCAGGGGTCATTGTCATAGGAACCAGAGCGGGCTTTCATCTCCTCCTTCAGGATCATACGACCGATCCCACCCTGAATCTGAGACAAAGACAGAAACATTTATGAGTGATCAGAAATCCATTGTGTTGTTCTTTTTTTTTGGATGACCTTTTATGAATAGCAGTGTGTAATACTGTTGATTGTGAGATGTTTAAAGGGACCATGAACTCTAAGTTTTTACCTAAAAATTCTGTATGTTTTAGATCTTAAAACCTTCTTATTAGTCTAAAACAGCTTATCCTAGAATGCATCATTTCACATACTTTGAGAAAATATCTGAATGTTTATTATGAGAAAATTAAAGCATTTTTAACCTTGGAGGCATGTAAAGCAATTCTACACTAGGGTCGGATCAATAGACAATTCAATCATCCATCACCAATGGCCGATAGACATCACGATACTGAGCCGGCACCGCGATCCTCTGCACATCCCCCGTCGCAGCAGCAACCCTCTTGCGAAAAATACACACCTAGGCCTTGTTTACGCTAATACAGTACATCTTAGCTTTAAAATGGCATTTTAGAATGAAAACAATCAACGTCTACACTGGCTTTTCATCTAGCATTTCTTAAAATATCTCTGTCCACACTATACCACTGAAAACGCACATCATGTGACCACAAACACACTGGCATACTCTGCACAATATGTGCACTTCTAAGCTCAGCGGCTGCTTTGAGCACAAAACCCCAAAGAGTAGTGTATGTCGGACAATTTATCAAGGATGTACCACTGAATCGCGTCTCACTATAGTTGTTAAATTAAATATTTAATTAATCGTGTCTCTATTATACGAATCTTGGGTCTTTTGAATCTATCAGGTAGCGTGTCACAGCATCAATTTACTGCTTCAGTCTTTCGCTTTCACGCTTATACTTAAAAATTTTACGAAAACCTCAGATACTGTTGGTTGGTTCCTGTTGGTTGTGCATTTTTTTACCAACCAAGTTTGCCAATGCCATTATAATGACACTGATCACTCTGCCTATTCATGCCAGAGTCAATCACTTTTTCCGCGGGATGAAATTTATCTTTATTTATTTATGATTTGGTTATGGGTAAAACAAAGAGCATGCCGGTCAGGTAGTTGAAACGGTGGGCTACAAATAGTTAATTAGTTATGAATTAATAATTATTCATGAATAATTAATTCATCACTGCCTACGATGATTCCATTGTCCATCGCAATGTTTAACATTAGACAACGTACAATGCCAAATTGGTCGACATTACCCAACCCTAATCTACACAGCAAAAACTGCTGTAAAATCTGCAATATTCTTGGCAATTTTGGTTGCCAGTAATACTGTAAAATTTACAAGTGCACTGTCATTTAACAATTACAATTCTGCTGTACTTTTACAGCACAATTGTAATTATTAATTTACAGTGCATGTGTAAATTTGACAGTATTACTGCCAATTATTACAGTTTTACTCGCAAAATTTACAATACACTTGTAAATTTTACAGTATCACTGGCAACCAAAAATTGCAGAGAATATTGTAGATTTTACAGCAATTTTTATAGTGTTGGAGAACAAAACACTTTTGAGAAATGAATAATAGGAACCTTTAAAATAGTTGAGGGTGTCATGATGGCACAGTGGGTAGCACGATTGCCTCACAGCAAGAAGGTTGCTGGAAAAATATTTCTGGAGGAGGACATTAGTAAAAACTACGAGTAATCACTAAAGCAAGGGTGAAAAGTATCTGTGTGTACCTTTTATTCCTTACGTTTTGGGGACCAAATGTCTTCGGAAGTATAGCAATACCAGCAAATTTTGACACAGAATGATTTATTTTGAAAAATTTTAAATGGTGGCATCACGGTGGCGTATTGGGTAGCACGATCACCTCACAGCAAGAAGGTCGCTGGTTCGAGCCCCGACTGGTTCAGTGTGCGTTTCTGTGTGGAGTTTGCATGTTCTCCCCGTGTTCGTGTGGGTTTTCTCTGGATGCTCTGGTTCCCCCCACAGTCAAAAGACATGTGCTATAGGTGAACTGAATAAGCTAAATTAGCAGTAGTGTATGTGTGTGAATGCAAGAGGTTCATTCCGCTGAGGCGACCCCTGATTAATGAAAGAACTAAGCCAAAAAGAAAATGAAGAAATTAATAAAATAGTATAATAGCATAATAAGGGTCATTATTAAACAGAGGCACAGACACTTTCTAATTGAATTTGACAGTAATTGCTAAAGCATTAAAATTTTATTGTAATTTTTTTACAATTTAATTAAAATATATAAAACCTTTCAATATACAAATTATACAAAAATGTGACAAAATATGAATCATTTTGTACTACAATGTAATCAACATAAAGTCATTTTTGTTTTTAATTTGTAAAGTATTTTTATTCATTTGTTATTTAAGAAAGACTTGACTTGAGCTGAAACTGTGAACAAACAAAAAATTACCAAACAAATGAGAAACGTGTCCTAATGATTGTAAAAAAAAAAAGCATCTAATGGAAAACTTTCTGCAGACAGATGGGATGTAAAGCATGATGGCTGATGGTTGATAAGCAAAACTAGACACGTACTAACCGATTATCTAATTAACACAAGCTTTAATTAGTGACTAGAGGGCAGAGGATGTTTCTGGCTTACTCTTTGAAGGCCATGACTCCAGCCATCTTCCTCTCCACCTGATGAGTATCTTCTCCGAGGAGCACGTAAAGCTGAGAGAGGAAAAAAACATCTTTTAAAGAGGCACAAATCAGAAGAGACTGACCATCCAAAGGGAGACAATATCTATACTGACAGCAAAAATATGCTTTAAAATGCAATAAAATATATTTATTTATCTGTGTAAATTTCATTTAAAGTTTATCTCACATCCTCCACGCACAAATATTTTTAGCTTTAAGACTAGGATTCCAAATAAACAACAAAACACAGTTTTTTTTTGTGGGGGTGGGGGTATTTTAATCATATAATGCATAGTATATAATTCAAGCTTGTACAAATAAAAGATTTTGTTATGTTTAAGGAAATAGCACAGCAATTAAATTAAATAAAACCAACTCAGCTTACTAATACATATGTAATATTCATTCACTGGAGCATTTTAAAGATTTCCAGCTGTATTTACACCACTTTGTGTTTGATTTGACTGTCTATTTAATGATAACTAGAATTTATTTTTATTCAAATTGACACTTTTCTTGGGCGGCACGGTGGCTCAGTGGTTAGCACTGTCGCCTCACAGCAAGAAGGTTCGAGTCCCGGCTGGGTCAGTTGTCATTTCTGTGTGGAGTTGGCATGTTCTCCCAGTGTTTACGTGGGTTTCTTCAGGGTGCTCCGGTTTCCCCCAAAGACATGTGCTATAAGAGAATTGAATAAACTGAATTGGCCGTAGTGTATGAGCGTGAATCTGAGAGTATATGGGTGTTTCCCAGTACTGGGTTTCAGCTGGAAGGGCATCCTCTGTCTAAAACATATACTGGATAAGTTTGCGGTTCATTCCGCTGTGGTGACCCCTGATCAATAAAGAGACCACTTCTACAATAGGCTCATTATAGGCATCTCTATATGTGATTGATTGTGAAGGGCTGATACTGTATGCAGTGAACTGAAGACTTTGCATATATTTATCACTCACATTTAGGAGAGCTGGTGTAGTAGGAGTAATCAGACTCTGAGTGCTGGTAGTGTTCAGGCGAGTAGGCTGATGGGAACTTGGAGGACTGGACAATGTCCTCACTGGTCTTGCTCTTAGTTGCTGGATTGCAGTGATTGTCTGTGGGGAGAGTATGAATTTCCGAATCACACCTCTGGAAAACGATGTGATTTAACAACAGATGGCAGTACAACTAGGTCTCCTTTACACCTTACATTAGTATGTGTTTTCAGAGAATGCACAGTCCAAACCATGCACAATTGACCCCCAGGGATACATTACGACCTACTTTTATCAGTCAATTTAATGAACAATATTTAATGAAATGCTCAAACTGAACTGCACGTAGAATTTTCAGTCCTGGTTCTGTTTTTGTAAGGACAATTTAAAACTTTTTGGTTCCATTTTCTTTACTTTGAATCTTTATAAACCGATATAAACACAGTAGACCAGATCATTCATAAATAACTAATTATTACTTTCTAAAACATCTTGCTTTTTAGTTTATGCAAATTATAATTTTGTGAGGGACAACAGATCTCTGTTGTAATGCAATCTGACTATAAAGATATTGGGGTTTTAGTGAATAACAAAAAAAGGTAATAAAAACATCTATCCACAGAGGTATTTTTCGAGACAATAGTCAACATCCAAATTAATACATTTGTTATACCTACACTCTTAGAAATAAAGGTATGCAAGCTGTCACTGGGGTGGTACCTTTTTAAAAGGTACAAATTTCCATATTAACATATTAGAACCTAAAAAGTACAAATGTGTTCCTCTTAAAATTTTTAGGTACTAATAAATACTTTTGAGGTACCAATTTGGACCCTTTAAATACAAATGTGTATCTTTTGTAAAGGTACCACCCCAGTGACAGCTCATGTACCTTTATTTCTGAGAATGTACACTGTAAAAAATATCCTTAAATTGGAATTTTTTTAAATGTATTTATATAGTTTTTATTCATAGTTTATATATATTTATATACACTTAAAATGCATAATAGACATTTACCCTTGAAAATTTAGAAAAAGTGACTATTATTAACATTTTTAATAGTTTGAAGTGATATATTGTCAGGGTTGGTGTTGTATATTACGCTACAAAAACCTTGTAATATGATTTCCTATACATTGTTTTTTGAATAGTTGAATTTTCAACATAAAAAGTCAACGCTCCTCGCACATTCTTATCCATTTTAAAACTGCACACAAAATATATTGTACCCCATATAAATAACATCTTATGAAACTTTTACCAAATCCGAACTGCAGTTTGTGTAACAATAATTCTAAAGGTACCTTTTGTTAATGTTTTGAGACTGTTTGGTCATATCCAAATTCTGGAAACATGTAGTTCAAGTATTTTAAAATATCACAAAATTGCAACTTGATCTTGATCGCTGCCTTATGTTGTTAAATGATGATTCTCTTTTTAACTTTACATTAGTTAAGGAAAGGCTGTTAAATGTCTGGCTTCACTGCTGCAAAAAAAATATTTTACAGCAATGGTTTACTTCTGACATGGATATTAAAGATTCTGGCTGTTCTCTTTTTGTAATATTGTTTGTTTAGAATGCAGCACTGCAAGGAATAATGGGTCTAAAATACATACCGTGACTTATTGGAGTAAAATAGCTCAAGCTTTAAAATTATTTTTCTAAATGGAAGATGCATCGTTATGTAATTACTTGTTGCTGTTGATTAGCTGTATCCTATTTCTTTTAAACGTGTATATTTAGAGGTATATTTACGGTTTGTATTTCTCTTTAAATATCTGTACTTTCGTCCTTTATTTGTTATGTTGGAATTTTTAAGTAAATAAAAAGACAAATCACAAAAAAATAAAGTTGACAGAACAGAGATCAAGGCCCCATAATGCAATTCACAACCGTAAATAAACTGAAAACATTTGTGGATCACTAAATACGGAAACTGCTAATTAATAAATTTTTTTAAAAATTTCAATTAAGTTCTTAATTCAATTTGTTCCAACTGTATTTTGTGATAGATTTATATAAATAAAAACTTAATAGGAGTATCACTAACAGGTTAAATAATATATAATGAATATATAGCCTGACACAGTGCAAATATTTAGAGGAGTGCTCTTCTCTGATGTTTATTTCTGTAGTACAACAAACTAAAACAAAACAAAAAAAGAAAGGAAAAACGGAATGACAAAGGTACACATGCATACTGAACTGAAATACTCATACCAAAAATGTATGTTTCGATATGTGTACCCATATGTGCCTTACAGATATAATTCATACCAATGTTAGGTGTTAAAGGGACCTCATAAAGTAAGCAAGTTAGAAAGAAACAAAGAAATCTCAAATGTAACTGCATGTGACACAATCCACAACACTCAATGCAAAGCATCTGCACTCATATACTGTAAATAAAAAACATTGAATAGGCACCAAAACACTTCAAATCTAGAGTTGAGTATTATTAGAAATTACACACAATGCCTTTAAAGTACATCTATAGCGAAAAAATAGAAACTTTACTTAACTCTCATCAATAAAAAAAAAAAAACAGACATGAGAAGATTCAACACAAACACTGAAGCACAGGCCGCACACAAATTAACAGTCCCTACTGGAAAAAGACTTCATAGGGATTAGACAGAATGCAAATGAGGGACTAGAGATTGAACAAACACATGGGCAAACAGACAAACGGATGTGCACAGGGAGAGCGAATACTTACAGAGTGAAAGGTGACCGAGGAAAGTAGAGGTGGAGGGAATTGTATTTAAGGTGGTAAGGGGTGGAAAACAAGGGAAAAAAAGAAAAGAATAAGGGAGGAAATGTTTGCATCCCAAAGAATATTCAGTGAGATATTAAGATTGGTACCCATATGGTTGAAAAACAAACGACTTGCATGATGATTTTATTTCTTCTTTTAAAAACAGATACAACAATATGACACTATTCGCTTAGTCACGCTGATCCACCATATGGGTAGCAAAATATTCCTTCTAAAGTGTTCATTACAGGCTTGTATCATGAGGATAACCACCAAAATACACACTAAACCACACACAAATATGAAATAAACGAATCTAACAAGCTGTAGGAGACGGTTCTGACCTTTCTCGGAGTTAACTTGATGGACGGTGCAAGTATCGGAGCTGGCCAGTAAATAAATCTACAGTATTAGTGCGGCTCTGTGCAAATCTCTGAAGCAAATTCATCTCATTTATGCACTCTAGATCTCAGCGGTTGTATATTGTCTGCGCTAATTGGCAGGATCACACAGATCCGGTGCCAGAAGCTTTGAAGACCTTGAACCACCATCATTCACAAAAGTTTTATACATCCCTTGACAATTGTGTGTTTGTCTTTTAAACATTTTAGCTAATTCAATGCTGTCAGTAACTACTGAATGTCTACTGCTCTCTTAAATGTAATCCACAAAAGTTAACAGACTTTATCCCCAAAAAGGTCAGAACTGTGAAGAAAATGTCTACAGGATTAGAACAAAAATAAAAATAATACAGACAATTCTGCACATCCATATGACAGTTGAAGCCAATATCTTCAAATTCAGAATGTTTTCTTAAAATTACACTTTAAAATGTCAATAGATTCCATTTGGGCCTACATGTATTTCATTTTTTAATAATAAGTAGTTAAATATGAGAATATTATAATTTTTTGTATTATAAAAAATGGAGGCGGTTCATTCCGCTGTGGCGACCCTAGATAAATAAAGGGACTAAGCCGAAAATAAAATAAATGAATGAATGAATATAAAATTGGAAATTTGTATTGGCAATGGGATGAAAAGCTTACTAGGTCCAGGAATCTGTTGCAAGTACAGTTGAGTCCAGATGTAATTCTCAAAATTGAACTCTATATATTACATGAAACTCGGTTTAGGATAAATATCAATAATAGTTTGGTAAAGGGAACAAGCCTGTAATGCACATATGTTATATTTACATCATACACATATAAGTACACACACAGAACATGCTGTTAAGGGAAAGATGTATTACTACTACTGTATCATTTTGTAAAAATGTTAGAGTTCATGGCAGTGCATGGCATAGATTTCATTAGAAAAAGATTCTAACTAATGTACTTCACAAAAAAGTGTAATATAGTCAATTTATGAATGAACAGATAGAGATATGCACATAAATAAGTGGAATTTGCCTGAAGGATTTCTCTTCCATATGTCACAATGAATGTATTCTCAACTGTTGAACTGTGCTCACGCTAGTCTTGAAGCCAAACGTATAATGCCACAATCTGTGGTAACAACAGCAAAAAATAAACGTAATTCAACAAATTGTATTCAAAATATTTCAAATCTACCTCTCCTAAACTCACATTATTTTAAACCAGCTAAAAGCCCATTGAGACATTTGTATTAACAACAATTCTCTATGTGATTCCAATAGACCCTTTTAACAAGACTACATTTGACACATTTAACGGTCATCAGCATCTTAAATCCTAAGGAGTTTTTAATATCATGACTTTTTAATCTTCTGGCTGCTGTCATCAGTCTTACACATTTTTTTTCCTTTTTCTGAAAGTCTTGAAAACACCATTGTGGAGTTTTTTTATTATTATTATTATCTCAGCAAATAGGATTGTAATAAAATTTGTTGTACTCTCCCAGTTACTGCACCCTAAAGGACCATTTCCACAGAGTGATACAGTACAGTGCACTTTTATGCCAAAAAGCGAACCGTACTGTTCTCCTCTTTTCAAGTACCCTTTCCAAAGGGTACCTAGCACGACAAAAGAGTACCAAAAGGCAGAGCTAAACACGCAGCTGAACGCTATTGGTTTACAGAGAAAAGTACAGAGAATGAAAACAAAAGAAGCGCCATTTTTAAATACATAGCCGAGACATTACACGGTTATAATATATACATATAACAACAAGCCATGGTCAACCCGAGCTCAAACCAATCTTCTCTTTGTCTTGATGAACAGCCACAAAGCCAAAAAGAAGAGTAGCGTGGTTTCACTTTCTTCAGAGAGCTCGCATGTGCATCTTTATTGGAAATAACAAACTTCTTAAGCTGATGTTAATAATGTGCACGTGATTATTGAAGCTCTTCTGACATTCGATCCTTTCAGAAAATGACAGACACACGAGAGCAACACGCAAAAAAAACAAACAAACAAGAAACCTGAAAAAAACAATGGAGCAAATGATTCTTTCAGCAACTTAAAACATGCGCAAACTGCCATGTTTAACTATTATCATCACCTTTTGAACTATTATAAATTCGGAATGACGGAATTACTTTTTAACAAGATGTTAACATTACATATGCTGGTGAAGAATAAAGATGAGAGGTTTGTACTGACTATATATGTTTCAAATAATTTATTTATACATAAGTATTTATGTATATAAAGCATTTGCTTAGTAAGAAGTGCTTTTATGACATGTGAACTTCAAGAGAAAATGACATAGACTCCAACTTTCTGCCTAACACCACACCCACCAAAATGGTACCATTGGTACCCTTGGCAGTGGAGACACAAACCTGATAAAGGTGACCTGTACCAACCGTACTGTACCACTCAGTAGAAACGAGGCATAAGTTTAACTATGACAACTTCCGCTACTGAGAACCCCCGGAAATGTGAAACTAGTCTATTTGCACCAAACTTGATTTTTTGAACGCAACAAAATTGTCTTGATCTTGTGTTTCTTGTCATGAAAGGTAAATGAAACAAAAGTGTAGTGTGACCATCCTTTTAGAGAAGCAAAATGGCCACCACTTTAAGAATTAACAGAGTAGGTCATGTTTAGGAAGCTTAATCAGGCTTTTCCTTCCTAACAGTGGTTTCTCAACAGGACTGAGCTTAACTTGGCTTTCAGTGTGGCATCTAATGCAGACACTTCCCAGTTGATCTACGGCAGAGGGGGGCATGGCAAGCTTTAATCATGCCTCAGCAAGCCTCATCCTTTTTTCATCACCCTCCTGTGGAAGGAAGGATGCGCTCGTGCCAGCTCTACATTCTTCTGTCATGCAAGGAACGAAAGCAGGACGCATTTGGATGCTTAAGCAGAGGGGGCAACTTTTCCACCAAAAGACCCTGATATACTCATCTTTTTTTCTTTATTTAGGAGTAAAAAGATGCAAGAAATACGCAAATGGAATGTTTAAACACCACCCATAGTACGACAGTTTCTTTTTAACCCTTAAATGCATGAATGCTTATGAACGCCAATCATCATTGCAGTCTTTAGTGACATGGACCTTTATATTTATCATGGATGGACTTCTAAAGGCTGCAAATGTGTAAAACTCTTGTGATATTTGAATTACAATTCCAAAGGAAAAATACATGATATATCTTTACATTTTAAAAGTTGAATGGATTGAATCCGAGCAGCCCATTTTACTATCAATATTACAGTCAGAGTGCTCTAATTCGCAATCTTAACCATGTACAACTATAAGTCTCAATGTCTTTAAAATCAGAATCGTGATCACTTACAGCTTATTCGCCAAATCCAGCATCAAGAGACAGTAGCATGTATATTTAAATGCATACAGTAATTGCTCAACAATAAAGCCAATCAAACCATTTTGAGTTTTGGTGATAATATTATTTAGTTTTATGGCTGCTGTAATTATACCTGAATTAGAATATCAGATATTTTTGTTGCGCAGAAAAAGAATTCTGTTACATTATTACATATCACAGGTCTCATATTACCGTATTGACCTTATTCTAAAATGCGGAAGTGCGCCTGTTTTCGCGATTGTCTTAGAACTTCCGATTCAGTCGCCTATGGGAGAAATGACTAGGAATAATAAACGGCAGAAAATGGCCAAACTACTTGCTCAACAAACAAATGTTTGCATGACTACACAGACCAAGTAGCATAATATAATAAGAAAATATTAAATTGCAACATCAAACAGCGTAACGAGCAGTTGTTAACGTCAAAAAATGAATGGAAGTGAATGTGACCGGAAGTCGCGAGACAAAAAGATTCAAATGGCAGCGCCCACTTGTCAGCTGAGAATAAGGTGAATACACTTAAAACAATATATTAGAAAAATATGTTATTTTTAAAGGTGCGGTATGTAAGATTGACACCCAGTGGTTGAACTTGGTACTGCACTCCAAAATAAAAACACATTTTCATTAGGCCTTCTCGAATGACTATAATGTTCCATAACAAAGAGTTTTTGTCCTAATTATGATCAGAAATGTTTATTTTAGAATTAATTTAAAATTTTCATGGCTGAACAACAGAATAAACTTCTAAGACAATGATCCCCTCGGGTACTGGTTATGCTTTATACAGTGTTAAATGCTACAAACGTGAGTTTGAATACCATTTTATATGACATTTATTGCCATACTGAAAGCAGCAGCAGATAGTTTACCTTAAATCTTGAAAATAAAATATTACAGTGAATGTTTGGTGTGAAATATAATTAAGTGCAATTAGAGTGCTGAAATATAATTATGTAAACTGACAGTTGGCTGGTTATAGAAACCAAAACAAAGAGAGATTCTGACAAGGAACCAGAAGTTCAAATTCAAAGGAGAATATCTGACTTTAGCATTGTTTTTCAGATAAGCAAATATGTTCACTTAACATGTTTCTTAAATATCTGCAAATATATTACGGTATTTCTTTGATTCATAACAGTCAAATCTTACATACAGCACCTTCAAATTTGCTTTCTTGCAATATTGATTATAATGAATAAAGATCCACTCCATGGATCTAAGGGTTAATATGACATATGAACTTAAATACAAGCTAACGTGCAGCACAATCTATATCTGTAATATCATACGTGTTTCATCTTGTTAGGAGAAATCAAGCAATGTTGATGACATAAACCAAATATTGTATATCAGGGCCTTGATTCATACAGTTGTATGAAAAAGTATTTGAATCCTTCCACATGGGCATCTGTATAAACTGGTCATAAAATTTAATATGATAAAAAAAAGTTTGGCTTAACATTTCAGCTTACTGTTCTGTAGGTCTTATCTGGAGTTACTGAAACATTTGCATTATTGCAGCATTCACTTATTATGTAAGTGTAATTAATTATTATTTTTTATAATTATTATAAGTTTATGCAAATCAATCCAATGTGTATGCTAACAACTATATACACAGCACAGCAATGCATTAAAATGACAAAATAATACTTACTAAATATATTTTCTCTTATTATACAAACAGTTGAGCTTAGTGTGAGATTATATATATATATAAAGTATTTCGACTTATTTATTATAACTATTTATAGGATTGTAGCATTTAAACTTTACCTTATTCAAACACAATAATTTAATCAAAAAAATGAAAATAAGTTCCTAATTACAGAAACCATAACCATATTAAAAACTACGGTTCCCATCAATTACAATAGCAATAACCAGACTAGTTAAAACAAGTTCATAGATGAACATAAATGTGTCATTAGAGTGAGGTATTCCTTTCTTTCTGAATTGATAAACTGTGAATACAACTACAGTTACTCCATATCACAGAAGCAATATGTTCAATTTAGCTTTTGGTGCTATTTCAACCTGTTGGTTATGAATAAAGCTCTGTTTCTGTACTTTCCACACTTACTTCCACACTGCAGGCTGTACTTAATTGTGCATTCCTGTCACAAATTGTAGTCTTCACCTTTAACACCTGCATGAGCTGATGTAAAATAAAGTATCTGTTTCATGTAACCTGATATGGATCAGTCTAAAAAATGCCTTGACCAGCATTGATACTGCAGTTTTAAACTGACTCGAGCTATCTCTAATAATACTACTGCTTGTTTAAGCTGATTGCATTAACCTATTGTTGTGATCCACAGCAAAAAAGAAAAAAAAAGAAAAAAGAGATCAGATTGAATTCAAGGACCATGCATGTATATATATGAAACTAACAAACATTTTTCATCCAACTGTATGAGGTAACTTCTAAAATGCGTTCACACTTTCACTCTGCCCACCAAATCCTCTAGAAATATATTATGATCTCTATTTACTCTCTACTTCTTGTTGTAGACTAAATGATTTTCCGCAGGACTCTAAAACTAATCAGACACATCTTTCCCATGAGCCCACACAGCCTCAGGACCGAGCGAGAGCAAAGACAGGCCAAGGCAGGCCGGGCACACTATACCATGTCTCTTATAGATGGGAGGCTTCCTGTAGATGTTGGGCTCCCCTGTGGCTGAGAAGAAAGGAAAAGATTAGAAAATAAAGCTTGGAGGAGATGTCAGTGACAGGCAGAAGAAAGCAAAGGCAGCAAATGCTTTTTTTCTACTTCCTCTTCAGGCTTCCAGGGACCTTCGGGGTACGGTGGAGGAGAGTGGAACGGTGAAAACACAAAAAAAAGGGTACACAAATGGAGTAGAACCATACTATAGATGTATAGTATAGACTGACTGAACAGTTACAGAGACTTTGATCCATTAAAGGGGACATATTATCAAAATCTGGCCATTTCCTTGCTTAAGTGCTATAATCTGGGGCATCTACAGTATGGAAACGGTTCACCTTTCTTTGTGGCTTTCAGATTTCTCTTTCTAGTGATGTAAAACATTTGATTGTTATTATACAGTGTATTACTGCTCCTAAATCTGCAAGTTTCCCGCCACAGAGCATTTATACGTACTCACTGCAGTAGCTGTAGATTTACAATGTTTGTGGATACAGTAGCAAAAACATCAGAGACACCGAGGCCCTATTTACGCTAATACATTTAAGTTTTAAAACTGCGTTTTAGAATGAAAATGATCCACGTCCACACTGGCATTTCACCCAGCATTTCTGAACAACTCTCCATCCACACTATACTGCTGAAAACGCACATCACGTGATCAAACACACACTCTCTGGACATCTGAGCTCCAGGCAGTCAGAGGGTGCTTTAAGCACAAACCCCAGATGAGAGAAGCTCATGTCAGACAGTTTTTCCACTGGATCTCATCTCACTATATTTGTTAAATGTGATGTTTAATTAATCTTTTCTATATCTAACAACTCTTCGGTTTTTTAAAGAGCCCATATTATGGGTTTTTGAAAATTCCCCTCCATGTAGTGTGTAACACAGCTCTAAGTGAAGTGAAGTATCCAGCTAAGGCTTAAATCTGTAAGAATACAGTGTTTAAAACTGTTGATTCATCTATAAAAGAGTCGACTCATAGTGCTTCAAACGAGTCGCCTTGATACCGATTCATTAGGTGTTTCGCCATGACGTACGAACGAAACCAAGTTATTCACGTGCACGCGCAAACCCGGGAGATTTCAAACCTGAGGCCCCGCCCTCTGACGCAGAAACCCAGACACACACCCACCCACAAACACACACACACACAAACATGCCGGTCGATTGAAGTCACACTGCAGATGGATATATTGAGTCTCTACCCAAAGATAAAACCTCAGCATTATAGCCAAGCAGTTGGAAACTACTGGAAACTTCTGGAAACTACATGCTACAAAGAATACTTCATCTGAATTTGTTAAAGGAAGGATCAGTAAAGAGTTAACTTACTGCTGGACGTCAGGATGGATTTTTCTTCCTCCATTTCTTAAGTGTAAGTATGTGCGATTTAAGTTGCCTCGTTTACTCTAGCTTGCAAATGTATTTAGTTGTGATTTGTTACTTGTAACCGCGTGTACTGTATCAGGTTAACTGGCTATATTCTCTTATCACATGCAAAGTCACGTTAAAAACGCGACGCGTGCTGCTTTGTTAACGGAGCTCCGTGGACGAGGAGTAGTGTGTGTGTCTGTGTGTGCGTGTGCGCGCGCTGTCGTCCGGAGGTGTGTGTGTGTGTGTGTGTGTGTGTGTGTGTGTGTGTGTGTGTGTGTGTGTGTGTGCGCGCGCGCGCGCGCACGTTGTCGTCCGGAGCAGGGTTAAGTGCGTGTGTGTGTGTGTGCAATATGTGTGTGTGTGTCTGTGAAAAGAGCAGAGTGAGAAGCTAGGAGATCTCCTCAACTGTTTTTGGAGTTTTTGCTCAATAAAATAGTTAGTCGTCTGAATTTTCAAGTCCATCGACTGTATTTACATTTACCCACTGGCAGCTAAAATCCACGCCTACACTATCGAGCGTGTATGAACTGTGATTACTTTTATATTGCTGATTAGCTGTTTGGCTTTTCACTCTCTGACTGAAGGCAGTCGACCAATCGCGACAGACTGTCATTGGTCCAATCAGCGCAGATTAGCTTCGCACTTAGGAGGGGTTTGGGAACAAATGAATCACTGGACGATTCATACAGGAGTCGCTGGGATAATTAGGTAAAAATAAATGCAGATTATGAGACCATGAAAGTGTTTTTTTGACCTAGCATGCATATTAAACTGTTGTTGGAGACCCTTACATCCAAGATATGACCCTATTTCATGTATAATATGGGCTCTTTAAATCTATTACGTGTTCTCAGGTAACATGTTTTGGCTGAGCGCAAAGATAAGTTAATATTGATTTATGTAACCACATACACTAATTCTGCACATTTGACTGATTACTCGCCTATATTTCCTATATTGTGTAAACGTATTGTATTATTGATTGCCATTATTGATTATTAAAACTAAGGTAAAAACTAAACTCGACAAAAGAGACAGGGAATGTTTTATATTTTTCAATGAGAATTAAAGGATGCAGTTATGTTATAGGCTCTGTTTTGTTATAAATATGCATACAGTAAAGACGGCAGTGATATAAATACTGTGTGTAGCTACACGATGCCTTAACATTTTTGTTGTCTGCTAAATTGTTAATATCAAAATGAAAATAATATTGTTGTTACGACAGTGAAACAACGTAGCCAGATATGAATGACTTTATACAGTACACTGTTCCCTTTGAAGATTCACTGGACGTGTACTGGGGGGTTTGTTTTCTATTTCAAACTTGTGATGTCTGAATTTACAAGCAAAGCATGCAAGACTGAAAAAACTCAACTTTGTGTACTTAATATTGAGAATAAAAGTCCCAATCTCAATTTTCAGATGTCTCTGTTTTTCCTATCAACACTGACATGAAGCAGCAGTGTTTTAAAACAGAAAACAACCTCTTCCTCTTTCCAAAAAGCTTTGTTTTTGGGGCTCGAAAACTCCAGGGTAGTGTGGACGGAAAACGTAACTGTAGCAAAACTTATGCATTTTAAAACTAAAACATATTAGTGTAAACGAAGCCTTCGAACATTGTGGTCAAATTTCATATTTAAAAAGTAACAATTTGATAAATTTGTGTAAAAAAGTCTTGTATATTCTACTGTATAAAGTCTTGTATATTCTACTGCTTCACTAATGGGGTTCTGTTCAATGCTGTTTCTTAAAGATGTGTTGTTCAATAGCAGCGCTTTATTCCTAAATTTCATAGCCAAAACAAGTAGGTCAATTCAAGTAGTAAAAATATTTAAGGAATGCACCAATATGGATTTTTTTTAACCAAAACAGATAACTGGTCCAATTTAGCTTTTTGAGATTTGAAACGAATAGCCAATATATATATATTCAAAAAAATCTTTTTGCTGCTTGTTCCAACAACTTTCCTAAAATGAGCTAAATCCTCACAGTTCTTGATTTTTTTTTTGGGACAACTTAATTGTTTTATATTCAGTTCACTTTCAGCAAGCACGTGAAGTGGTTCAATCAGCGGAAATAATACATCATTTATCAGCATAAAGATATCAATAAAAAAAAAAATTATATCAATTAAAAAAAATGTATTGGACCGATAATGATAATATTAGTCGGACAATTTATTGGCCCATATCAATATGGTTGCTGATATATCCTGCATTCCTAAAATGTTTCAAAATGATTGGTCATAAAATTTTAGCTGTGTGAGACTCATTTGTTTTGTTGTTTCTGGAGTGTCAGAATAACCCTTCTAGAAAAAGCAGCAGCTCCTTTGCATTTAAAGGGATGCAAGCTATAATAAATGATCTGTGTTATATTTCATCCTGAAACCTCCCAGGCATTTTGGGGACAAGAAAAAAAAAGAAAAAAAGAGGCATAATATGTCCCCTTTAATTATGGGTTAATTTTATACTGAATTATAGTGCTGGATGAGTATGAAAGTGATGGCAGCAGCCGATGAGGTGAATGTCGAGGCCTGGCCTACCTGGCAGATGGAAATGCTTGGGAGCTTGGTTTGTGGTGGGCGTGCTGGACCGGGCGTCTAGCTGACTGTAATAGGGTGAAGTTCTGCCACTCTCAGTGCCTGTAGCGAAAGCCCCAAGCCAATGACAGTAACAGAAGCAGAGCATGAGTGCACACTTCCTAACACACACACACTCAGTCATCATCAACACACCGGTGTGAATCATCTGATCAATGATCCGAGGTTAGCCAGGCAGGGACAGTATGCATTTCTAAACTGAGGAAAAGACATACTGTGCCAGACAGACGAGTGCAGAGGATAAGATGTGGGTGGAATGGTGGAACACGCCCCTAATAACAGCCTAACATTTCTTACACACAAAAAAACATATTTTGATAAAAGTCAACATGAATTTAAATAAATAATAACATAAATAAATTAACTAATTAATTAATTCATAAACAAGCAAATAAATAAATTCTCAATAAATTATTGAATAAATTAATAAATACATTTTTGAATACATTTACAAACAAACAAACAAACAAACAAATAAATAAATAAATAAATAAATAAAAATTATTGTGGTCTTGTTTAATTTCAGCTAATGAAAAATTGTTTCAGTTTTAACAATAAAAGTACTGAAAAACGAAATTTGATCATTCCAGAATTGTTTAGGTTGGTTAGCTTGCCACCCAAAAAAATTAGTATACAAATTTAATGAAGATATTAAAATTTGATAACTTTTTTGAGTGACACACGATTTAATGCAATTATTGTTGCATAAAATATATTCAGTTATTTAAATTAAGATTAAATATAAAATAAAAACACATTTTGGCCGTGGCACAACTGAAATAAATGTGATTTGACTGTTAAAAAACATATTAAGTTAACTAAAACCAAAACCACACAGCTAAAATTATTTTTGTCATGTAAAATAGAAACGTTAAATAACAAACATTAAAAAAGTGTTTTTATTCAGCTAATTTCCAAAATAATATTCGTTATCATGATCAAATGTCAATAAAAGCTCAAGAATATATAAAAATAGACATGTTTAAACAATATTTAAAATAAAAAAACATGTCATTAAATCTTTTAAATTAATATCAAAAATGTACAAAATAATAATAATAATTTTATCAATATTTTTTGAAAGTATATTTAGTTAATGATACTAAAACAACAAGGTGGAAGAACAACATTTACTAAAACTAAATCAAAACCATAAAACTAAAATTATTTCTGACACTTAAAAGTAAACTTATATTGTAAATTTATTTTATTTCAGCTAGTTGCAAAGAAAACATTTATTATTTAACATTTAAAACACTTAAAACATTTAAAACAATAAAAAACTACATTTGTTTAATTCTTAATTTTATTAAAATACCCCTAAATTTGAAGTACTAAAAGCACGAAAACTAAAAAATCTTAATCTTAATAAATAATATAAATGAAGACTTGGTCAGTATGCCAATGTCCCATTTTTTTTTTTTACTTGTTTACTAATTTTATGTTACTTAAATTAATACTCACCAAATCAGCTGTTATTGCAATGCAAACCATACTTTTACAAGAAAGCAAACAAAGATATGTATACAGTATATTTTCCAATATACTGCATATTCATTAAAGTCCTTAGCCCAGTCCAGCTTACATCAGTGTGCTGGTTCAACCTGATAAGTGCTGGTCCACTACATGTTATTCACCAGCAAAAAATGCTGATCAGCTTCATGAAGTTTATTACTGATTGGCGGCAGCATGATTCAGGGATGATGGACTGTTTTCTGTGAGTATGCTGTTGTGTGCTCACCGTATCTGTAGTAGTGCTGTGGCGAGCGAGGCATAATGGGAGACATGCCCTGTCTGCTGTAGGTGGGAGAGTCGATGTAGCCCGGACTGGAGGATCTCCTCATCCTTATGTCCATACTATCATACATGTCCTAAACACACCAAAAAAGCTCAGATCTCATTATTCATAACAATACTCTTCATAATTCTTGCCTTAAAAAATAAAATAAATCTAAAGGTAATTCAATGTATTTTGTGTATTTTATGTGTTTTTTTGAGTGTAATTTATCAGGAAAGCCTTTTCAACAAATTACAAATTTGACTGCAAAATGTATTTCCAATGACATTAGGCAAGTGATTAGGCCTTGTTCGCTGACATATTGTTACATAAAAAATACAGTGGCAAGAATATTTGAATTCCTAACAAACAAAAAAACAATCAATAAAAAAGGAAAAGTTAATTATGACAAACAGTAATAAAAAACTAAATTACTATAATCTACCAAATTAATATAAACAAAAATATAAATATAATAAAAGATGGACTAACATATTCTTGTCACAGTAAAATGACTTTCAAAGATACTTTTGTAATGTCTATTCATTTATCATTCTCAGCAATGTTTTCAACATGCATTCATATACAACATTTTTAACCCTCCTGTGACTTTTCCCAAGTCCTTTTTAACAGAGCAAGAAAATGTTCACAGTACTTTTTTTCTGGAAAAAGTCTCATGTCTTATAGTTTGATGGTATTAAAAGCAGTTTCTTTTAATTTTTCTAAAAAAAAAAAATTCAAGATCAATATTCTCTTAACAAACCACTGTTGTCCAATAACTATGTACTGTATGTCTAATTAACATAGTTTTTTTCTCCAAATTGCACTGAAAATGGCACTTTAATAAGTTCAATACAAATATAATAAAATAACTAGTAGAATATTAGGTAAGACTTTATTTTGATGGTCCATATTGCCCCTTTTTGACTAAAAGTTGCAATGCAACTACATACCAATTACTTCTCATTTGAATATTAGTAAACTGGCTGCTTAATATCTGCTGATACTGCTCCTTTAACAGACACACAACTGACTGTAGATACTTTGAAAGTACAAGTCAACTTGCACTAAACCTAACCCTAACCCCAACCTTACAGTCAGCTTATAATCTAATGAGAATTAGTTGGCATGTAGATGAATATAAACTAAATTCAACAAAATGCGTTAAAGTAAGAGAGTGATACCAAACATTACATACTGTCATCATGGCACAGACAAAAGAAACGAGTTATCAGAAACTAGCTATTATACCTATAATGCTTAAAATGTGTTGAAAATATATTATCTCCGTTAAACAGCACTTGGGAAATATTTGAAAAAGAATTAAAATTCCACAGGAGGTCTAATAATTTTAACTTCAACTGTACATACATATACATGCAGAGTATTTTCCCAAAAATCTAAATGTCTACCTGAGAATAAGGGGAGAGTGTGCCCAAGGACTGTGGAGACAAAACCAAAAGAAGGAAGATTTAGAATAGTAAATCAGAGATCTCATGACATCTGATGTGTGTGGAGTAAGAAGAAAAAGGGATCGCAGGTGAAGGAGCCACTGTGGTCAGATCAACCCTCTTTATACCTCCTGTAAAACTTTAGAACTCAATATTTCCCATCAGCAAGCAGAAATTCAAGGAATAGTTCAGCCAAAATTGAAGATCCTGTCATCATTTACTCCCCTTTATGTTGCTCCAAACTCAATTATTACTTTGCATGTGTTCGTTGATATTTAGGAAACCATCATATAGTTTGCAACAACGAGATCGTGAGTACACACTGACACTAATTTTGACATGAACTATCCCTTAAAAAAGACCACATACTGTAAATCACTAGCATTTTTCAGAAAGCTTCCCAAAAGTGAACTAAAGGCAGCCATACTGTATGAGCTGCTTTTCCACTCCATGGTATGTCTCAGCTCTGCTCAGACAACTCAGCTTTTATATACATGTACATCTTTACTCTGTTTGCAATTCCACTGCAAATTAGGACTGCTTCAATGTGGGTGGGATTGAGGACATACATGTTTGTAGATTCTCTGGTAGACATTCATTTCCAAAAGCTGAGCGACTGACTTTTTTTTTTTTTTCTTCACCTTTTTACTCTTGCTTGCCCCATGCATCACTAAAACTGTTTGTCAGCTGCCAATTAGAGGAACATCTGCTCTTTGTCTATTGACCATGACACCACCATTTTAAAATATAAAGGCTTTTTTTGGTGCCTTTTTGTTGTTTAATATTGGCAGTGACTGTTTTGTGTGCTGCTTCCGCACCCTGTGCTGCTTTCATTTTGATCCCCTGCTGTGCCTGTGCTTTTTTGTTAGAGTGCTCTTAGTACTTGAAGCAAAAAGCAAATAAGCAAATAAATACTAAACATCAATGTGTTTTTTTCCACTGTCCAATCAAATGAACTGAAAGGTAGCCTTCTGATTTGACAGGACAGCTGATTCGAAGGTTGATTTTGTAGTTGCCTTGCAACATAAAATAGCCCCAGTGCACTGCTCTTTTCTAAATTATAAAAAGTCAACTACAAAGGCAGTATGCAGGTGTCCCCCACATTTTTAAAATGTAAAAGCATGCACTGTTTATAGTTATGTAATAGTTTAACAGATAGCGTAAGACAGCAGAAAAGAATTTGGGTAACTTTGACTTTACTGGCAATTGTTTATCTCAATATCATTTCTTTTCTGTAAAACTGCAACAAAGAGAGGAAAATATATATTTATTCACATTCACGTTAACATGTTCAATTCAGTCAGCAGTAAAATTTTACTAATGCATCATATTCTATACAAAATCTTAATATGCATATTAGAAAAATCTATTAATGAGACCATTTAAATCGAATTTTAGCAAAATTATCCTATTTACATCACCAGGTGTTTGTACAACAAAATACAGGTGGTATAAAACTGATTGAAATCAAATGACCCTTGAATATTTCCAAAATAGAGCTTTAGTAAAAACAGAGCACTTACAGACATATATTTCAGCATTTAAATGAACTCCAGAAATAATCTGCATGTGCGTTACTCTCAACTGCACACAGAGAAACTAAAAGTAACCCGAATATAAAGTACAGTACCTTAAATGTCCACCAGTAGGGGGATCAAAACCACATGTGGCTATATGCGACTGTACAACAATGATAGTGATTTAAAAAAATGTTTTGTTGGGCCGAATCTTATTATATTTTTCACATCAGTTGCGGGCTGGAGGGAGGAGAAGGGGGGATGCAAATGGCCCGCAGGTCGTCAGTTTGAGACCCCTGAATTAAGTTGTCCTCCAGAAAACTTAAGAATTGTGTGTTTACACTGATTTTAAATAAGAAGTTTGAACAAACAGCAAAATACTTTTTTTTTAGTGTAAAGCAAAGTCGTGGTCACAAAAAAGTAATCCGTAACTGCATCAGACCAGAAACACAAAACCTGTGGGAAGAAATTAGGCAATTTCCAGAAGAGCAAAGTTCAAGTTTGGTAAACTGGGATCTGTGAATACGAATCAGTGAATTCATGAGACCAACAGAAGACGTAAAGAAATTAAACTGCCTTTTTGAGCTATGTCACATCATCCTTTTTTATTCTGCTCTTTTGTAGCACCACTCAACATATTTTGCATGCTTAAAGTTTAATGTGACAATGCTTTAACATGATAAATGTTTTACATGGCTTAATGGATGAAGACAGTGTTATATAATGACAAAATTCAGCATACAGCATATAAAAAATATCTTTATGTAAAAAAAAATACACAACTGATCTGCAGTGTTTACACAACACATTTTAGTAACAATATAGCTTACTTCGAAACCACACTGAAAAATATCTTGCTCCCTGTCATCTCAACTTACACCACTCAAAAATATTAAGTTAAAGTTTGTATAACTCAAAGATTTAGCTTGAAACCTGGTTAACTTATTAAAATAGAATGAAAACATAAATATATTTGTTGTCATTACATTATTTTTACAATGCACACACCAGATACAGCACAAAGTAGAATCCCCATAAAAAACGAGTCACACTGAACTGTACTGAGCCACACCATGCAGTGGAAATGAGCTAACTGACTGTTAGCAGTTGGAGAAATGCACAAACATAGCCACACAGCCAGCCAACAAATGCGACATAGATGAAAAAACACAGACAAAAAGCTATGCTAAGCTCAGCTAAGACCAGGTCATTCAGCAACAGAGGGGAGACATGCTAAGAGTGGACGCGATGGGGCTCTAGTGGTCCTGTACCTCCCCATAGCTGAGGCGCTCTAGCCTGTCATCGGAGCAGTATCTGTGACTCGACTCATAGGACCAGTAGTCTGGCCTCTGCACTTCATAAATGGCTTTAACCTTAGGCAGCGCTGCCAAGTCTTTGTAATCAAGGATCTCGTTGTCCATTTTTGCCTGAGGAGAAGGACACAGGACAGATACACACACTCACTCAGACACACGTCAAACGCCATGAGCAGGACTGCAAAAAACAGCAATGGTGACAGGCGATGACAATGTCAACAACACAGGATGAGCTGGAGGCACGTTTGCTGGAACAATGTGATTGAAACTGTGAAGCACATTAATGGTGTAAAATGTCAGGTCCCCATTGAGTTTCATTTTGCATAATGCAGTTTAAATGATCCTCAAAATATTTTGTTTTGTGTTAAGCAGAGCAAAGAAAGTCATGTAATGAAATGATCCAGTGTATATTCATATTTGGGTGAACTGAACTATGCCAGACTAGAGATCTGCACGGGACTAAATTTTTAATCCCGCTCCTGCCAGGTTTCAGTCCAAACTAGAGGTCTGCATTCTAAATCTCAGAATAAAGTGAGGGAGCGGTCGGTAACTCTCATGTAAATTAAATATCGCTCCCAACTCCTGAACGAGTGAGCATGCGTATGTATATGTTTGAATTAGTGAGCGTGATGCTGTGTTTAGCTTGTTTGTTGCTGTCTATGTGTGTGTCTATGTGTGAATGAGAGAGAGAGAGCTTCATGCTCTCTATGTGTGTGTGTGTGAATAAGAGGGAGGGTTCTGACTTAAACCTGGTTGGAGCGGGATTAAAAATTTAGTCCCGTGCAGATCTCTAGTCCAAACCTGACTGCTCCCGTTTATATTCAGCATTTGTTGTCCCGCTGCCCGGGAGTCGGGAGCCGGGAATGCAGACCTCTACACCAGACCCAAACTAAATCTCCATTTCAGTCACTTGATTGGAGTTTTGTTACTTGCATTTTTTTTTTTTTTGATGGAGTCTAAACCAGTGATTCTCAACCACAAACATTGCATGTTATGGATGTCTTATTTGTCTGTCACACCCTTTACAGGTCCTTCAGTCTCTGCTAATGAGCTGATGATCTGAACAAGTGCAGAACTGGTGGTCCTTCAGGGAGGTGGTTGAGAAACACTTGTCTAAACAACACTTTTAAGTGACACTTGTTTTTGTTTTATATGTAATAATTAACTTCACTCCGTTACTGAATGAAACTGAATCGAAGTTGATCTTTATTGAACTGATTAATGGCCGCTTTTTATAGGGTTTGGTTAATTTTTAAAGTTTGCATCACAGATTGTGTTCCTTTCTAAAACACTTTTATATATATTTTCACAACTAATAAATATTTAAATGAGACATTTCTGTATCTACATTAAAAACAGATCCATTCAAATATCTGATGAATCAATCTTTATATGTTTAACCCTCTGGTCTTACTGCACCCAGCCTGGTCTGAACAGTTTTAACAGTTTTTTTTAGATAATATTTTACAAATTTTCAACTTAAAGTGCAATTTAAAGGCTTAATTAGGTTAATTTGGCAAGTTACCCAAGTCATTGTATAAAAATCCACAAGGAAGCTAATAATATTGACCTTAAAATTAAAAAAAAAAAAGCTTTTCTTTTAGCCTGGACTTTTTTTTCTGAATTTCTTCCAGAAGAAAAAATATTATAGGAAATACTGTAAAAAAAATCTTTGCTCTATTAAACATCATTTAAATTTTTTTGAAAAAGAACAACAAAATCCACTGGAGGGTGAATATTTTTGACTTTAACTGTATATGTAAACTTAAACTTAAATCAAATGTAATAATTCAGAGGACTTGAATTAAACAATTTGATTCATATGAATTCATATGAATTTATAAACAATTTGATAAGTCAGACTTTTAGATAGACAAGACTTTCAGTGGAAATTACACAAATCTCCCAAATATGGTAAAAACAAATTCAAAACTCTTTCCTTTGGGTTCTGGAGGTGAATAATAATGTGATGGGTTTGGAACAGCATGAGGGTGAATGGGAAAAGTCATCCTCACTGAAGACATGGGATGCTTTTTAGGGTGTTTCTGCAGCATGCTTAATTATGTTCATTTTGATTTCAAAATATTGTACCGAAATGTGCGCAATATTTCCAAATGCAACCCATCAATAGTAATGATTCATTGTCAAACTGCAGGGGGGAGATGTATTATGGTTTTAACAATATTAAAACTGTCTTTTCAGAAAAGTGTTCAGAAAGCAACAAAAGGTTGCATGTAACATCAAAATTAAGGTCTATTTTATTGCTGTTCCAATTTAAAACATATATAATATATATATATACACACATACATACATACATACATACATACATACATACATACATACACATATATATATATATATATATATATATATATATATATATATATATATAGCCTATAACTGGCCCTTATATAAAAATATTTAGTTTAATGAAAAAAATATGTCTTAACAACATATTTTGTATTCAACTACATGAGGGTGAATATAAAATATAAAAATTTTCACATAATAAAAATTGCAATGCCCTATCGAAACTATAAAATAAAGGTGACTTGACATTTAAAAAGATAGTGACTTCCTTTACCAACAATCCCATGGAGTGTTTTAAGATATTCACTCCTAATTGAATTTCTACCTCAGACATGTACACTCTCATGCTTGACCTACAGCGAAGCGTGGATCAGCACATATGCTTACACTGCGTTATGCGTACATCAATCACACAGATATAGCGCAAAGGTTACACACTAGGGCCAGCCTTCTCTTCCACGTGTGATGTTAATGACCACACCACTGCAGAACGCATATAAATGCATTATGAACAAGCCAATAAACTCAAGCATGAGAGGCATCCATCTTGGGATGGCCAATAATACTTACATTTATGCATTCGGCAGAAGCTTTAATCCAAAGCAACCTTCAGTGCATTCAAGCTATCCAATTTGATCAGTACATGCATTCCCTGAAAGTGTGTAGGCTACATTTTTGTGTTACAATTGCTATGATTTAGCAGTAGCACAAACACGTAGATCTTTAAAACACTTTTTTTTTAAGATTCTCACAAACATTGCATTTATTTGATCAAATTCACAGTGAAAAAAAGTTATATTGTGAAACTACGGTATGTAAAATGGTTGTTGTCTATTTTGATGCATTTGTTGCAATGCTGAATCTTTAACAACCTGATCCTTTAGAAATAAATCCACACTACCTGATAAAAGTCCTGTCTTTGATCCCAGTTGTAAGAGCAACAAATAATCATTTGACTTCTAGTCGATCATTTGGAATAGTGGTAGAGAGTAGAGATTTTTCTAATAAATCATCTGATAAACTGCATCCCAATCATCACAAATACTGTAGAAGACCTATTGGAATCCGCATGGACCCAAGATTCAAACAGAAATCAGTCAAGTTTGGTAAAGGAAAAATCATTATTTGGGGTTACATTTAGTATGGGGCGGGCAAGAGATCTGCAGAGTGGAGGGCAACATTAACAGCCTGAGGTACAGTATAAAGACATTTGTTTCAATTCAATTCAATTCAGCTTTATTTGTATAGCGCTTTTACAATGTAGATTGTGTCAAAGCAGCTTCACATAAATGGTCATAGTAACTGGAACAGTGTAGTTCAGTTTTTTAGTGTTTAAGTTCAGTTCATTTCAGTTTAGCTCAGTTCAGTGTGATTTAATCATTACTGAGAGTTCAAACACTGAAGAGCAAATTCAAAATTTGTGCTGCCCATTACATTATTGTACAAACCACAGGGGATGTCATACTTCATACTTCATCTCATACTTCAGCCTCCACAGCCTCATACACAATATTAATTCTTTTTTCACTGCACCATGACTTTATATTCTATACTGTACATTATTTCTGTTAAGTGACAATACTTTTGTCTTAGCAAAGTCGGACCTTAGTGTCCTAATTAAATAATTAAAATCAAGGCATGATCATTTTTTATTTTGGTAAAAAAAGGCACAATCTAGATGCCTTGCCTTTCATATATGCCACTTCTGATACTAAATGATCAACTAGAAGTCAAGGTATTATTTATTGTTCCTGAATCTTGGATAGGTGACAAGACTTTTGTCAGGTAGTGTAATATGTTGATTTTGTGCTAAATGTTACATGATCTGAATGATTATCAATGTTAAAACAGTTATGCAGCTTAACATTTTTCTCCAGGACTAAACAGAAAGTTTATAAAGTATTATAAATATCTTTACTGTATAACTTTAGTTCATCCTTTCTAAATAAAATTATAATTGCTTTCAATTAATTTCTTTGCTGACCACAGACTTTTTTTTAAAGTGAATGTTGGTTTAACATTAAAATAATAGGTCACTGACATTAACATTCTGTCAGAATGTATATGATTAATTCCACATGGGGGTTCAATGATTACTGTATATAATATTTTTATGCATTTTGCATTCAATTAAAGACAAATAAATTAATAAAAACTTATATGCAAATAAATAAATAAATAGGTTGACTGACATGAATAAATTGTGAATCAATTATATGAGAACTTACAATTTTGATTCAATTGTCCCTTTTACTTAAATATATAATATTAATAATGTTTCAGCTTTATTTTCAAACTATACTAACTGTAATGTTTTAATAATCTTTTAAGTGAGTTTAATTGATGTAAGAAAACGCTAATTTGATTCTACTCATAGAATTAATGCAGCCACTTTTTTTTAGTGACCTTACATTAAAATGACCACATGATGTTTTATTTAATCATTATAAACGGAAAATCAAAAATTTAAAAACATTTACAACTCTTTGTGAAGCGATTGGCTACTTACACAGATGACTCTGCTGGGTGAACTGATGCTGGAACCTGGAGGAGAGATGGAGGCTTCTGATGTGCGCCTGAGCTGTAAAATAACATAGCAGATTTGAGATTGAGATGTATAGGCTTTTTAAGACTTAACACGAACAAAAAAAACACTCACTCTCAGTTTCCTCTCTGTTCGAGATGCTTGTTTACACACAGGATGCCACACTTCTGAACCTGAGACAAAACAAGAGGGGGGGGGGGGTAATTATAATTATACAGTGCTAAATACTTATAATCCATCCATATGCTCATTCAACACACCTTAAGATGATTTGGTTTAAGAATGTGTTATTGGATTAAATCTCATGGACAATAAGCCCTAAGAGGAGAACCGATCTGCATATTTTAAAACTATAGCTGATTAAAACATTATAAAATTGGTGACATTCTAAGTTGATCTCTCTCTTTTTAATGTGGCAGTGCTGTATTTATACCATAGTAATTTTAGTGTGTTGTGAGGGAGACAGGGCTCACATATCAGGAATGTATGTATTTTGTGTTGACCACTCTTTCTATAACCCAAAGTTACCTTTTGGTTGGCCATCTGTTTGTTTCTAATGAGTCTTCTGTTTTTGTTACTGTTTGATGCACACTAGTAAGGAATAGTTAAGGAATAGTTTGATGTCAGTAAGATTTTTTTGCTGACACTGAAAGGTTAATGGCAGTAAGACAACAATTATTTGTTACATGACATCACAACTGTGTTATGGAGACTAAACATGCAAGGTTTCAAAGTGCTTTTTTGTTTTTAACTTTACGAAATTGTCAAAAGACTATTGGTGTTTTTTTACAAAGTGAAAAATAAATACCTTTTTCTAACAGGCTTGCATTAAATCAATCAAATGAGCAGTTGATACTTTTACATTTTGACAGCAAATTAAATACATCAAAGAAATTGTGCTCTTTTAAGTTTCCAGAGAAAAATGAAGCATCACAGTTGTCCTTATTCCCAATAACAAAACTCAGATCTATTGCTAAAGGAATTAATTATATTTTGACAAACAGAGTTAGTTTTAATACAGGTTTTAATATTTTCCTAATACTACACATTTTACTTCAATTAAACCTTAAACACTAAGAGTAAAACGTCTTTCCACAATATTCACTTTTTAACTAAATTGTACTCAATGTATAAACAGTAGTGTACAACAACAACAATAACAGCAACAACAACAACAACAACGACAACAACAACAACAGCAACAACAATAATAATAATAATAATAATAATAATAATAATAATACAAATTAACATAATAATAATAAATTAAATATAAGAAAATCAGCAATCAAAACAGCAAAATAAAACATAATTAATATGAAAATACCCAGTCTATTGTTGTTAGTCAATTAGTGTTATTGTTAGAAGGTCAGATGTGTTTTATTTATTTTTATACAACAGTTCTGTCTCGTTCTCGAATCTGATTGGCTGTGACAGCTGTGATATTCTGAACTATCAGAACTTGTACAGCTTCTTCACTCTTGTGTATTACTTCGCCCACATAGAGTGATAGAGAAGATCAATAAACTCATTACAGTTTGGACAACATAATGTACTATTGAGACTTTTTAAGGCAAGAATGTAGTTGTTTAGATTGCAACTATGCAGTTTATTTATTAGGATAGTGCTTATTTTAACATATTTATAATTTCTGAGAGACATGTCATACTGAGCAAAGCAAAGACGGTTGACGTTCCACAAGATGGCAAAAATACTGCATAAGAAGCCCTAAGAGGAGAACAGATCTGCATATTTTAAAACTATGGCTGATTAAAACATTATAAAATTGGTGAGTGACATTCTAAGTCGATCTCTCTCTTTTTTATGTGGCAGTGCTGTATTTATACCATAGTAATTGTATGGTGTTGTGTGGGAGACGGGGCTCACATATCAGGAATGTATGTATATTGTGTTGACCACTCTTTGTATAACCCAAAGTTACCTTTTGGTTGGCCATCTGTTTGTTTCTAATGCGTCTTCTGTTTTTGTTACTGCAGAATAGTTCAGTAAAAAGAAAGAAAGAAGAAATGCCCGCATGTGTTTAGCGTTTTTCCTTATCGTAAACACAACAGTAATCTGGTTGTGTTTCCATTGCTTTAGCTTTTTTGGGGTTATTTATTGTGATATATTCTGATTGCGGGGCGACGTAGTGGCGCAGTAGGTAGTGCTGCTGCCTCACAGCAATAAGGTCGCTGGGTCGCTGGTTCGAGCCTTGCTTCAGTTGTCGTTGCTATTTGGAGTTTGCATGTTCTCCCTGCGTTCGAGTGGGTTTCCTCCAGGTGCTCAGGTTTCCCCACAGTCCAAAGACATGCGGTACAGGTGAATTGTGTGGGCTAAATTGTCAGTAGTGTATGAGTTTGTGTGTGAATGAGTGTGTGTGGATGTTTCCCAGAGATGGATTGCGGCTGGAAGGGCATCTGTTGCGTAAAAATGTGCTGGATAAGTTGGCGGTTCATTCCGCTGTGGCGACCCCGGATTAATAAAGGGACTAAGACGACAAGAAAATGAATGAATGAATGAATGAATGATTCTGATTGCAACAGAGAGATACTGGGAAATCTCTGTAGACTGATGGCATTTCATGCCGTTCAGCCTTATAATTTTAAAATGTGAGCAAAATCACCTGTTTTGTCATCACTTTAGACATTACGCTAGAGAATCTTTCAAATATTATAGCTCTAAAGTGACATTGGTGAATTAGCAACAGCTTCTGCTGTTCTGACGTCAGCTGCAGATGTGAATGAATGGCGGTAGAAAGTAGTTCCTTATACAAAAAGATTTTCAGATTCTCTGAATTCTCTCTCTCCCTCTCACTATATATATATATATATATATATATATATATATATATATATATATATATATATATATTATGCTGTCAAACTATTGTATAAACACAATATCACACCTGTAGCTGTGCAATATGGCTGAACTGTATATCGTCACTGGTGGGACACTACAATTTCCCACCAGTGCTAATATACAGACATATTGCATTGCTATAAGTGTGATATTGCTCATATATATGAAAATAATGTCCATAATGCATTCACACTATCAGATCAAAATGAAGGGAGCTGTTACTTAAAACAAGCTAAATAATTGGCCAATTAAGTGTAAGTAAAACAATCTAGTTATCACTATTTTTCTAACCACTTTGGCAGATTATTTTGCTTGCTTTAAGTAAAAAATTCTTATTTAGGGATACTCATAAAAGAAAAAAAGGTTTATTAAAAGCCCAATATTTTTTGCTTGTCTAGAAAATGCTTCTTGATTTAAACATTTTTATATATTTGGACTAGAAATAAGATAAAAATCTAAGGAAGAAAAGCATTTTTAAAGTGCATCTATTATTATATCAATTATAATAACTTACTATACATATAAATCAATAATAATATCAGTTTTATTCTAGTTTATATTTCAGCTTGGTATCTTAGCCCAGGCTTCCAGTTACATTACTCCTGACCTCACGGGTGAGATTGAGATGTTGAAGCAGACGGAGAGCTCAAGCTAAGACAAATACATTTAATGTAATCACTCCAGGAGAAAAAAAGGGCCAGAGTGCATTCATTCAACTGTGCCATTTCAATTTCAGATTGATGGTTTTTTTAATCCCATGCTCTGTCTCTGCCTGGCTCTCTGTGTCCTTTCTCCTTCTCTGTTTCCACACTAGTAATGCTAGCTGCCTTTTAAACACAATTACCTGGAGGCGTTTTCGCCAGCCTGTAACACACTTAAACATTTCACACATCGATGTGAAGCAGAACAGACAAACACACTGAAAGAGCTGCGGTGCATTCTAATGTCCGCCAGCCGCCGGCACTGGAAGTCATATGAGCGATCACAAGCTTTTCCAGAGCAAATCTACTGAAAGAGGCATTAAGATTTATCATCATGAGCCCCTGTGACTCTTTGAGGAAGAATAACATGAGTTTCTTCATTAAAGTCTTCCCACTGCAGCCTTAATCTCCCACATGAATCTTGCATATTGTTTGTGATGTTTATTATGAAAGATAGCGATGGAATATTCTAAAAGAGCTCTTTCATTACCAAAGTCCTCGTCTGCTCTGTCACAAGGATGAATTAGGCCTAAAGGAACAGTTAGGCTATTCTTCGTTCTACTGATTTCCATTCAAATACTGTGAACACACAGTCAGGCGTTTAGCCAGCAATCCCTGGGCATGATGTCTGAATCTTCTTTCCGTTAAAAAGAAATTAGGGGGGAAATAAACAGGGGGGCTAATAATTCAGGGCGGCTTATAATCCTGACTTCAACTGTATATATATATATATATATATATATATATATATATATATATATATATATATACATACACACATATATATATATAATTTTAAAACCTGAAATAAAAAGACAAAATAATTATCCTATTCTCACATTAGTTTTTCACAGTATAGATAAATATCATCCTCGACACCAAAACCAGTAATACTGTAAGTGTAATTTTTGTAAAAACCTGAATGAATAAATAAATTAATTAAATAATAATATTTATCTTTTTAAAATATTTAAATATCCTTAAAGGATAAACGAAAAAAAAAAAAGATTTAACTATTTTAAATCTGAAATATGAGGGTTCAAATCAAAATGCTGAAAAAAATCACCTTTAAAAAGCTGACTAAATAAAGTGCTTAGCAACGTACATTACAAATAAATAATGGACAAAACAGTAGGAAATCCTAAACTGTAGATAATTTAAAAACTATTCTCATGTAACATATTCATTCATTCATTCATTCATTTTCGGATTAGTACTTAGTAATGAATCGCCAACTTATCCAGCATATGCTGTACGCAGCGGATGCCCTTCCAGCTGCAACCCATCACTGGGAAACATCCATATATCTCAACTCAGTCACACACATACACTACGGAGAATTTAACCTACCCATTTCAATTAAGGCACATGTCTTTGGACTTGTGGGGAAAACCGGAGCACTGGGAGAAAATCCACGTGAACATGCAAACTCCACAAAGAAACACCAACTGGCCCAGCTGAGGCTCGAACCATGCGACCTTCTTGCTGTGAAGCGACATCGCTACCCACTGCACCACCATGTAACATAATCTTTACTTAATATTCTTAGGATTTGTGGCATAAAAGTAAAATCTATAATTTTGAACCATACAGTATTTTTGGCTATCGTCAAAAATATACCTATGCAACATAAGACGTAAGAAGTTTTGTGTTCCAAGGTCATAAAATTATTTCCTGTCAATGAGTGCCTGTTTTTACTTTCTTTGTCTGTAATTTATATTTATTTAAATTTATATGCATTCATTTAGCAGATTTCATCCAACATGACATAAACGGTAAGATCTTTGTAGATTTAAATACAATAAACACTTGAAACACTTATCCTAATGTAAACACGTGAGTTAAATTAAGGATCAGGTTCATTTAGAAAACAAGTTCATTTCGCAAAAAAAAACTCAATTACTCACTGTGCTTGTTAATAAAAAGTCAAATAAAGAAGTGGATGTGTTTTTTTATAGCCCTTTTCCTTTTTTTTATCAAGTAATATTATATTTGTGAAAGATATTTTATTAATAAATGTCTTAAATAACCTTTGCATAGTCCTTCAGCTTTCATTGCATTGCCGAAATACATTCAAGGACTGGAAAACATAAAGATGTAAATTATAACCGGTAAGCTGATGTGTTTTTGTACTTTATTAATGCTTATTATACTGTATATACAGTATTATAGTATTATTCACAACACTTTGTTAATGAATCCTGCAGCATACTGTAAAATTAACTACATCAAAGTGATAAACTGTAATAAATACTGAACACTTTATTTTTTTTCATTAAAGCACACTGTGGTGTATTGTAGTAGTATATACCATATAGTTATATTTTAAAAACATATAATAAATGTACATAGTTATATATTTAAAAAAAATATATAGCATATAGAGTCATTTGTTTACATTTCTACAGTTGTTGTGTTTCTATTGCAACCATTGCAGATTAATTCAAGTATTAATAAAGCATGGGTCAAAAGCATTATAGTGTTTACTATATATTACTATAGTATAATATCATGTGCACTATTTTGCAACATCATTTGAACCTGATTTGGATAAATGTGAATAGTTACATCACACAGCCATGTAAAGCCATATGTAAAGTCAATATCAACCTAATCTCTTAAGCTTATTATTATTATCATTAATAATAATAATATTAATAATGAAAATAATAATAATAATGTTTCTTAAAGCTTATGATAATCTTTTTTTTTTAATGATTGAGGCTTTGTAAAGATATTTTCTCTCTCTCTCTTCTTTTCTTTTTTGTTATTGTATTTTCTCTTCAGTGCAGTGATGTTATTTTTCTTGTATTGAATAAAAAAATAAAATAAAAAAGTCAATATCATCTATTTAAAACTGTAATAAAGACACTTTTGGCAATTGAACACCTCATAATAAAATACATAGAAAATAAAACAGCTTACTTTGACCACCTGAGCCTGGCGATCACCATTTTCTTAAACTTAAGCAACTTTTACTGACCATGTGTTGAGAAAGAAAAACAAAACGACTTCCTTATTTGGAGAAGTTGCAGACTCTATTTTGACCCCTATTCAAGGAAAGTGTCAGCTGCCGGCCTGTGTAACCTTTCCTCACCTGTGAGATACATCTCCTCTCCCTCTGTAAACATCATCTGACACCGGGCACAGCGAGCACACGTCGGGTGGTAGTGTTTTCCTCCTGCCTGGACAGAGAAAAACCACGGACAAATTCAACAATAAGTAAATTCTCTAGAGGACTG